TATGTGGAGGCTTTGAAGGCGGAGACTGGTGGTCTTTGAGGATTGCAAGAGAATCTCTCTTTTAAATATTTTTTAAAACTTCTTTGCCTTATTCACAATTTAAAAGTTTGCGAATGAGCAAGATAGAAAGAGGACGACAAGAACAAGAACAGCCAAATTCGATTTTCTAACAACATTTAGACTATATCAACAATTTATTTATTTAAGTAGAAATTTATATATCATACTTAGATAGAGTAAGTGAGGTCTGTTTTTGATATGATAATTTAAAGTGATTATAACACTGTAACAGGTATTATGACATATGAGATGATTATGATACATTCAGATTCCTGTTGTCATAAAAGGTTGGATCACTGTGGTTTCAACCACTTTTTTGAATGGGCGTCTTATTTAGCAGTGGTATAACTATGAGTACTAAACAATATTTTGATGCGATTTGTATTTTTGTTGTTCGAACTTACTGAATGAGAAAATAAGGCCAGATACTGCGCCTATCAAAAGCTGACCTAGCTTGACAAAAGACGTAGTCAAAAGAATCGTTGCAATACAAACTAATCCCACAATAACGGTTCTCAGAACCAATTTCCTGAAAAAGAAATAGTTTGCGAGCTAAGATGAAAACTATTTACCAGGTAACATTACTCATATCAATATCTTTATCCGTTTGGCAAAACTTTCCAATAATGAAGTACCACGCATGTTCCATAATTGCAAATGTGAACAATGCAGTCATTCCAGATGTTGAAGACACTGTCAACTGCAATGTTGAGAAATTATGAAATCTTGTAAAGGAAAACTAACAAGATCCGGATACCACCAAATAAATAAAATATTGTCTAATATAGCCGTGCTCATGAAAACGAAAGTTGTATACAATGTTCCATACTTGGCCTCCATCGTTGGTACAATGAATAAAAAGAAAATTATTTCCACTACGAATTGCAATATTCTAAAAATAGAAGTTTATTCATCCTTATCACGGCTATCTCAAACCCAGAGACTAAAAAAATGCTTTGAATTATTCTCCAAAAAGCAATTGTTTGTACTCCACATAGATTGTAGAAGCAATCCACCTGAAAAGAGTTGAGTCGAGATTCGATCATAATCATATTATGTTACTTCAGAACAAAACCGTGCATCAGAATGAAAGGTGCCTCCATTTTCTCCACACTCAGTTTTGCCCATAAGTTTGCATTCACCTGTTAGCAGACAGCATGGCGATTGGAGGAGCTGAAAGATATCAGTCATTTCAGAAGCTTTCATTGGTCAAATAAACATTGCAGTTCATGTGTTTGGCGTCCTTCACATCAGCTTTATAAGAAATGCAATCTTTCCACTCAGTGATGTCCGTTTTATTGAACGAGTCTGGGGGCGGTGAAGTACAATAACTGGAGCATAATAGGACTATTTTCCAACATGAAAAAACTAACTTGGGATCTCTTCCGCATACTGGACCAATTGAATCATGATTTTTTTGAAAACGGAATGATGTTGCCTGAACATAAAATAAGAGAGAAAAAAATACGAGTACAAACTTTGCATTCAGATTCGTGACTTTGAAAGCAAGCCACGTAAGTACCATTTATTATTTCATTTTTCACACAGCATCCTGTGTTATTATAAGCAATCTGATCCAGTCTCTTATTCTTCGAGTTTTGCTCATCGAAAAAAACGGAGTGAAATATGCATCTGGGGTACATAGCTGACAAACGTATAAGCGACTCCTGAAGAACATGATACACATTAACACAACAGTACTTTACCGGTGAAAAAGAAATAGATTTGATAAATTCAATCTCTATAACTGCCTGTTCTAATTTGTAGCTATTCTTCTGAGAAATTGCGGGATTTTGCTTAAAATATATTTAAAACTTTGTTTCTGCGAAGTAAAGAAACCGAACTGATGTGAGACAATTGAAGTTTTTCAAAACTACGATGGTCTTGTTCATGAATTTGAGAGTAAATGAAGAGAAAAAAGAAAAGCATGAACTTGAAAGTTATCCAGTAACCAAAAAAGTAAGCTCTTTTCCCAGGATCACTTACGGCGATATTCTTCCTAAGAGAAAAAATGCTTAAACAGGTATACAATACTAATCAAACCAAAAACCCAAAATAGAATCAAGGTCTGGGGGGGAAAGAAGAAACGGCAATTTTCCTTCTACCTTTAATTTTTCTTCTTTTTCTTTTTCTTTAGTGATCTTTTTTTCCAAAACGTCTACTTGGAACCTAAGTATCCTCTGTGTTTCGTTTAATTTCAAATGCTTGTCACACACCTTGCTTCTATACTTCTCGATACGGCTCCGAGATCTTCGGATTCATCTGGCTCATATAAATTTAGCTGTGGTCTATCAGGCTTCGGTACATTTCGCAAGTCAGTAGGTACGAAAGCGTTTGAAATATTGGGTTCAGGAAGCTTCAATCTTCAGCAAAATTAATACTAAACTGAGTGGATGTTTACCTGGTCAAGAGACTTTTTAAGGATATGAATAATATTTTTAAAGTGTTTCTTTCAAAATTTCGGGTGGACCTGCTCGCAACAGCAGGACCATTGTCAGCAACAGCTGGACCACTGTCAGCAACGGGCATCCTGAAGAAGTAAAAACATGAAAGTTTAAAAGTGATTTTGCATTAATGTTTCCCATCTCTTTCTACATTCGTGATCAAAACCGGTGGCACTCGTTAATAAAAATTTCACTTTCAGAAAGTAAACGATCAATAAGGTCTAAATCGATACATTGATTCTTCCTCTTCTGCTTCTCTTTTTTCAGTGTTAGCACACATCGTGGTTCAATAATCTGGAAAGAATGATAACGTATACGGAATCCATTTCAAATACCTTTTCGAATAAGCTCTTACGAACAAAACGAACAAACACTCATTATTAAAAAACTTTAATACTTCAATTTAAAAAAACAGAAAATTTTAACGACTAGCATTGATTAGACGTGAGGACTATTGAACGATAATGAACGAGAATATTCTTAACGACTGATAACGAGCAAGATCAACAAACACCAAGATGCGGCAATATAAAGCGAGTTGAGCTGGAGTTACAAACAAGGCAATGACAGAAAGACAACTTGGATAAAAAGTCGGGAATACTAACAAATAAAACGCAAAATAGGGAATGACCAGTATTTAAAACAAGGAGAACAGCGCGAACTCTGTACAATATGACTTCGTTCTGACTAACTGTATCTCTTAAATCTTCTTATTTTTGCTTCGCTTAGCTTCATAGGCTTTCATTTCCTCATCTGTGATCATACTCTCATCAGTATTACCTTGTTTCCAATGTTCAAATGTACTGTAAAAAGATTATATCAATCACATAAGTTAAGCTTCATACCTATGTTCAAGGGGAGCGAGCCAGTTTTGAGCAACCTGTTGTTCTACTATTTCGATATTGTCCACTGGAATCTTACTGAAAAAGAAGGACGAAAAAACTTGCAACCAATCGATAAATCAACTCACTTGTTAAGAGGAGGGAACAAATAGTCAACAGTGTCATTCGCCATCGATAAGTAACTACTCACGTAGCCAACAGAATCAGACCTACAAACAGTACGACAATTTTTCCGAGTTGAAAAGAGTAATTCATACCTTCGGACTTTTCCGGTAGGATCAATGATTAGAATACGTTTAGCTGGAATTCCTACAGCTCTGTATGACGTTACATCAGTTTCACGGTTCCCGAAACCAGCAAAATACGGTTGTGGTACTGGGAAAAGTTTCTTCAAATCGCTCAGAGCTGCAATTTTAAATTCTTCTGGTCTGCGTTCAATGACTTCTCTGAAATAAACATTTTGAATTTTCACAAAACTTCCAAACAAACCTGCGGAAAGCCATCAGAACACTAGTTGGAGAAAGTAAAACCGGGCCATCGGGTAACTGCCTACTGTTTTGGGCTACACTCCTCAGATACTGCTTGGTAGTATGACTTTGTCCAATGGCTCTAGACGATAAGTAAACCATCTTATACCTGAGAGCAAAATATGAGAGTTCGAAATATGAAGAAATTAAAATACCCGTTGTTCTTTATATGAGTGTAGAGTTCGGCTACACCAGAGTGAGCCCAAGTTCCACCAATAGCAGGTATGACATGGCCAAGCACGTCACTTTTGGTTATCGTGCCATCAATATCAGATATGACAATTCTCTCATACCACTTATACAAATATATATTACAAGCGCACCAGCACGTTCCCTGAAGAAAAAAATGACAAATCATCTTGCACTCAACCCAAACCTGAATTCTAGTTGTTATACTGAACCTGCACTCATTGGCTCCTCTTACTAACCCTAAGCTCATCAATCTATCTGATGAGAGCCGTAAAGATCTAATATATGTTTTTCCATCTTGCCCTTCGATAGATTCCAAATCATCTTCACTGAAACAACAAGGTTATAACTATGCAAGAAAAGTGATGCTCACAAGATATCATCCGAAGAAGACACACTTCGAGGGCCACTGCTATTTCTCATGCGCCCACGACTATCATCTAACTTCTCACTAGAGTTTATCGAACAATTCGCGATTTCTTGCGTTGGTGTCTTAAAGAATTTAATCATCTTTGGGTCGACGTGGGATGGCAAACCGTTTCATCTAGGAAATCCAAATCTTCGCTCTTCGTTACAGGACTAGCCGGATGAGAAGCACCACGAGAAGCATGACCACTATCAATACTCATGCTGAATTTACGCGTTCCAAACGCAAAGTTCAAATTTCTTACCTGCCACTTTTAGTTTTCCCGAGATATTTTTGAATTTTAACAGGATCACTGGTTACTTTGCTCAGTTCATCTAATGTAATGCCTTCCTCAGTTGGTGATGGAGATCTAGCTGTTCGAGACCTCCATGGTAGCCATCCTGTCCATCCTAATGATTCTTTCTAGATGTTCTAAGATTAAGCGAGTATACAAGAAATAAAAACCTTAGGTTTTTGGGCTTTCTCATCGAGGCGTTTGTTTTCTTTAGTTTCGGGTAGTTGTCCCCATTTCCAATCGGTAACGTCATTCTCGTGCTTCAAGAGAATGATATTGCATTAAGATGTTCAATTCATAATACCGTTTCATTTTTCCTGTGTCTGTCGACTTCAGAGTCGGAAAGAGCACCATCAGCTACATCTCTAGCATCCAACAGAGAAGGAGAGGGGGTAGACACTGTTGACGAAGATAGAGAAGAATCTAACTCGCTGTCACTATCATTCTGAAGAAAGAATATACGTTTCTGGCGTAGAGAAGATAAGACTTACATTAACTTTAATATCAATCGGTGCGGACTCTTCCTTCTTACTCTTTTTTCTTCGGCCGAAAGATCTTCTGAAGATGTCATCAGACTCGAAAGAACAATCATTGATGAGTTTTTTGTCGAAAGCTTGTGACTTGGAATGAGGAAAGCGATGCCTGTGAAGCAAACATTGCCAAAATCAGTAAAGTCTAGAAATCACCTTTTGAGAGAAGATTGAGTTTGTTTCTCGCACTTTCCTCCTGAATGAAGACAATCATTGGGATCGTTGCAAATAGAAGATAAATCAGGCAATGAGCGGTACTTCCTATTACTAAATACAGAAGAGGGGAAGGGCATACTGCGCAATCGTAGTTGAACTTCTGATAGGGATTGCCTATAAAATGTTGATATTCAGCGATATTAGAGGAAGTATTACTCTTCATTTGATTGTCGGTGTGAGAAATCGTGGACATCTCTACTCGCGTCGAAAGAAGCACTAAGTTGATTGTCATCTAAAGAATTTCTGCGAATTCTCGGTTGTGACTCTTCGAGCTTTTTCACGCTAGCATCAAGAACCTGAGATTAAAGAATGAGTTTGAATAGGATTTAATAACACACCCTCTGAACATCATGTTCTTTCTGGGGAAGAATGGTTTCGGGAAAAGGAGAAGTTATCATATACTCTGGAGCGCCTCCTTCGCATTCTTCAACGAAATAAGCAACTCCTGAGTCACCGAGCTTCATTTTCAGATTAATCTCTTCACCATTAATTGTAATATCAACATACTTAAAGAAAAACATGTGAGAAAGAATGATATACCACAAAAACCTTATTACTATGATTGAACACTCCATATTTACCAAAGCGTACATGAAAAGGTGTAGATTTGAACGTGCCGTCCGGTTGCTCAACGACGACAACATCAATTGCTCCTTCAAAGAGAAAAGCATAAGCACATGATGACGAAAGATCACCTGATAATGTTGCTGGGTTTATTGTATCATAGAAAGTTTTAATATTTTGAATGACATGGTATAATCCATCCATGATAATAACAAGTTAGTAATTATAGAAATATTTTCCGAATAACGTCCACCCGTGAGTGGGTCCTACGAAAAGGACACCCGAAATATTATTAACCTGAAAAGGATCAATTAAATAAACATTATTTAGGTTATAACAAAAAAGAAAGAATACAAAGAAATGAATTTTTCAACAAGAGTAATGGACATTGGACAGCGAAAATGATTATGACAGCGACAATAATAGATAGGAAGCATTGTTTCGACTGTATTTGATAACAAATAAAAGCATTTTTTCAGCTGTAAGGGTACTAATTACAAAGAAAGTCGTATTTTTTTCTTGCTAAGTGACGAGACTATCTCTGATAACATTCCTCCCGCTACATAGCCTTCGCTTGTCTCTCGCAAATGGAAGTTGCAATCAAACCTGAGGTAACTTGCGATTTGAGAACAGCAAAGAACTCTCAATGTCTCGTTTCTGACTAGTTATTCGTAATATACTTTATGAATTTTGAAAGAAGAAGAATAGCACAGGGCAAAGGAAGGGAACCAAGAGGGTAAAGGACAACTAAAAAGGCCAGCACGCGGAATGAGCTAAGTTGTATGTGCGCGCATTTTACGCGTTGAAGATGGATTGAGGCGATGGTTCTAAGGAGAAGAATGAAAACTGGCAATGAGGGAACCCCAGATGGATGATGATGGCAGGCTCGCGTAGAGATATCGGACTGAATATGAGAAAACGGGTATGAAAATGAAAAGCGAAGGATGATGAAGAGAGGCGGAAAAGAACAACCGATCTACGCGAAAAAACAACTTGAAGTATTTTCACGTGAAGCTTCACGCAGTATTTGCCGTATGCATAACGTTCGGTTTAAGAAAGCGAAAATGATAAGAAAAAAGATTGATGTAACACGAAACCGTTGAAATGTTATCGGCACTTTTCGAGAGAGGCTGAAGCGGGAGAGCGTTAGTTGGACTTTCGGACGAAGGAAAGTTCAAACACAAAATTAGATGATTGTCGTTTTTGCGACGATAAGAAAGTTCCGCCCTATGAGATCATTCGATGGCATGACCATATGTTTGATTAAGCAAGAACAAAAATAGAAGTGAGAAAAGAAGATAGAGTTTGAAGCGACAATGAGGTTTTATCGAATTACACTCGTGGTAATATATCATAAGGTAGGTAGTCATATCATCGGAAAGAAAACTGAATATGATAACAATATGGAAAACCGTAAACTGTTATTCCGAAACACTTGTGGAGGAGGCGTTGACAGTTGTTGAGAAGACGATGTCAAGAATGAAAAAGTCATCGTTTGTTTTTCAGAAGGTAACTCGCCAATCTTATAAGTATCTAGAAGAAATGGATCGGGGTTATATGAAATTCCTTGAAAACAATAAAAATATCATGAGATAGTTCAAGTTTAAGGAGTGTCTCACACGACAATCGTCAATATAACTAAATCTGACTCTGAGGAGGGCTCCCATTGAATGTTTGTATTTGATGCGGAAAAGCTTTTCTGGTCGAAACCTGGTGAATAAACAAAGAATGAGGGTTAAAAAAGCTTCTTAACTTAACAGAATAAAAAAGTAAATGTAAATGTCAATCAGTTCTTCCAAAGTATTATTGTAAGCCCATGTGAACAGATGAAGTATAGAAATGAACACAAAGTCAGATGGACGGCAGCTCAGGGAAGAGAAAAATGGTGTTTTGAAATCAGAGAGAGAAAAAAGAAGACGCTGCAGTTGTCTTGTTTTTAGGTGAAAATTGATAGTCTACCACATTTCTTGAAATGTCAAATTGGAAATGACTGCAATCCCATATATTGTCTTGTTCAACTGGCTGTTAGTCGAAGAATTATGTTAGTGAGAGAAAATCTCTTTGTATTCTCCAGTTTCTTATTTAGTATTTTCTTGAAGTCGTTATATCCATCTACGGGTATGATCAGCCCATCATCCATGCGGCCACTCATTCTGGATGAGCTGATTTGATCGTCCCAAAGTCTTTTATAGCCATCACAAATAGTGTAGAATCAAAAACAGAGTATGAGAAGAGATGCAAAGTGATGAAATAAAATTAAGAAACTAGGATTCATTCAACATTTGATCAAAGTAGTTATGAAGATGGGGGAGAGGATGAGAGGGACGATTATTCTTGGAAACTCGTAAAGAATTGTTCTTTTCACTCTTCCACCATATGTTTTTGAGCTTTGAAATAATGAAACAGAATGATCGTATAAATGAGAATAACTTAGAACATTAAGTATTGGAAAACAAGAAAAATATAAAATCAGCTGGCGTGATTATAGAAAACTGAACGTTCGAAGGACAGATGAAGAGGGGTAATGTACACTCATGTCAAAGAACGTTCACGACTGCAGAGATTGAACGAACAAGAATTGCAAACAAGAAACGATTCCCACTAATTATATTATTGCAGAATAATTAACAAAAGCTGTATTTTCCTAGTTTTTTTCTGCGTTTCGTTTGCGTTGAGTGGGGAATGATGAAAGACAGCGAAAAAAAAACGAAAAATCACCATTCGTGTTGACATCTGAAGCCAACACCCTCGCATGACAACGCATAATGTACTTTGGCTTACTCACAGCTCGTGATCGTCTACCGAAGACGTCACCGTGAAAATCATCAAAATTATTGGGTTGCAAAAAAGCAAACTATCGTTTTGGTCAGCTGTTGTAGCACAATACATCAACATAATTTGAGGAAAGTAAGATTTGCTAAAGGATGAAATACGTTCTGTGATGAACAAGTTATCGGCAAACAAAATGTGAAGAAACAGCTGAGCTTAAAGTAGTTCAGTTTTGCGTTGAACACAAGTTGCAAAAGCTCTCTGACCAGCATTATGTTAGCAAGATTTAGGTTACTTTACAATTTCCTATAATTTATGACATAGAAAAAAAAGAAGAAAAAAACCAAAGTATCAAGAAAACCATCATGAACATTGAAAAAACATTAGAAACTCCAGCTTTTCAGCAGAAGTTCTGAGTTTCGTTTTTCTGGAGCGAAAAGGGAATGAGAGAGAGAAGGGATATTCTAAGAGTCCAAACGACACTTTTCCGGTTCAACGCCAGCTTTGGAGAACCGTCCAGCTTTGGCTATTTGTCATTCCTCAGCGAGAAAAAAAATTATTTTTGAGCGGCTTTAAACTCAAAAATCTAAGTTCTCATAATTTTTCTCTAAAAAATCTTATCTTTTAAAACATAAAAGAGAGATAGAGAGAAAGAGAAGTTCGTTATTGGAGGTCAGCAGAACAACACGTCCGTCTCTTGCAGAAATAATCTTGGGGGAAGTCGCACTTAAAACTAAAAAAAGCCGTCACATCATCAGTGTAATTTGCTTTTTCATCTTTCATATTGATTGCAGGAAGAAGAAAAGCGAATATAACTTTGTATGGTCATTTGTGATGTTTTTGAACTTTTTATCATCGAAAACGGAGACAAAAGAATAATTGAGATGACAGGTGATGAGAGAAGAATCTAAACAAACGAAAACTTCCTAATAAAGAAGTTATCATTTACTTGCTGTCAACCAATCCCAAAGGGACACAGTGAAAATAGAAATTTCTTTCCAACTTAACTCGTCAAGTTTCAACAACAATAGGCGATGACCGCGAAAACTACCGGGCATCTAACTAAAAAAAGGCAGAAAAGATAAGTTATTGTCACTAACGAGACTGCCTGTTTGGAGATGTGGAGAGGGGAAAATGGGGAGGAATGTATATATCGAATATTGACGTATTCAATAGAGACAGAGTAGTAAAGAGACGAAAAATATAAAAAGAAAGACGGAGGGTCAATACAAGACTAGCTGTCACATGGGGCATTTGGATTACAAAAAAGTACGAAAAGAGGAGGGGAAAAAGTAAAAATAAAAATCCATTTTTTTCCAGTTATATAGGTGTTTTATTGAAAAAATAATGGTTTTGAGCCGAAAATAAAGTGACCGATAGGCTTTTCGAGTTGAGTCACATGAGCAGCCTAAACGAGCGAAAATCTTCTTCACGTGATGGTGTAAGAGACGGAAAGGGACAGGAACAAGATTTGAACGAAATATTCAAATGGTTTTGGTTGAAACAAAAAAAAAGAGAAAAAAGAGGAAGAAGAGTGACGAGTAGAAGATAGAAGAAGAATGCAAAAATGATCTTTTGACCACATTTTGGGAAACATTAGTCAGTCAACTTCAGTGCAATGTTGAAAGCAAAATTTGGTTATTTGGCTGTGTTAATAGAGGTTGGTGACTCAAAAAAGTCAATAATTTCTTGGAAATTTCATAAGTATTGAAATGATAAAATTGAAAAATTCAAATGAAATACAATCAAAAGATTAAAAATGGAAAAGCACAAAGAGGCAAAAGCTGAATAAACTCAATGAATGAGTCTCATCTGTTGATTGAACTGCAATGATTGAATGAAGATGAAGAAGAAGAGCAAAACTGAAAAAGAGATGAGAAGAAAGAGATGATTAGTGTGGTCAGCTAACAAGGTCCTGTCAAGTGTTGAGAGGTTCATATTCATAAAGAGCAATAGAATATGAGATATGATGAAAGAAATATATAGAGAGAGAAAGAGAAAGAGAAAGAGAGAGACAGAGAGTAAAATCGTATGAGAATCACGATGAATAATAAGAAGGCAAAGAAACAGAAAGGTAATGAGAGATGAATGCATGTGACACTCATCCCTGTGAAAAGATCAAAAAGTCGAAAAATGACTCAGTTCGTAGATCAACTAAGCAATGTTTCAACTGAATAGCCACAGTTGACATTGAATAGTATACTCTACAATTAAAACAAAAAAAATGCGAGAGAAATAAATCAGCTGTTGTATGTATATATACATGTGTGTGTGTGTGTGTGTGTGTGTGTGCATGTGTGAGAGTCAAAATAAAAATAAAAATGAATTCAAGATCAATTGAAGATTAAAAAGATTTCAAAATGACTGTGAATAACACTATGAAATCGTTTAATGTTTTTCAAGCATAATAGTTATGCTAAGTATGATGAAAATGGAATGGCAAAAATCAAAATTAAGAGAAGAACACAATGAGAACATTGAATATACTTTGCCCATGTAGTATAGATAGAAATAGATCAAAATAATTATTTCATCTGTGTCTACACATAACATAACTCTCTGTCTAGACAGGTTTTTTTGGCATTCTTGCCGACTGATGTACTCTGCATTGCTTTGTGCACTAGTTTAATAAAGCTAAAATAATCTGATACAGTCACTATTTATGGATGTTAAACAGAAGCAATGTTGTCGGCTATTTCGTATTTTTAAAAGGAAGTGAGATGCAGTCATTGCTTGTAAGCTACAACTGATCGCATTGATGCGATAATTAAACTGGCCGACTATAAAGCTTAAACTTTTAAGGAAACTGATTCTAGCGAACTTTTAAACTTTAAATACATTTGTTGCATACATGCCTTGCAGAGGGTGGGTGCAGAAGAAAGAGAATGAAAGAAAGGGAAACATGCATTAAAGAGAGCAAAAAGATGACAGAAAGAGGGTGAATGATATAGCAAGAGGGAAGAGAGAGGAAGAGGGCAAGAAAGGGAAAATAGAAATATATATGAAACCACGTGGTTCTTTGATAACTTAAATGATAATGAAATATCACTTTCAGTTAAGCTTATCTCGTTTTCATAATCAGGAAAGTTTTTTAGTTTAATCTAAAAGCCATAGGATGGTCCGATCACAACCCGTAACTTTTCAATTTCATCCCTTCACAGATTTGATTGTTCTCTGTATACGCATTCTCTACCTCTCATTATTCTAATGCTATCTATATTTTTTATCTTTTTTCCCTTTCCGTAGTGTTCCTTCAACCACGTGGTTTGTCACTTCGAACCAGCATGATTCTAAGAATCACATGATAGGCCATTATTTATAGAGAGAGGCATCTATTCAAACGGCACAAGATAACGCCAAAGGACACTTTTAGGTGAACGATGAAAAAAAGAAGAGAAAAACGAAAGATTTTGAAGAACAAATCACCCGAAACATGCCGCCAATCAAGAATTAGCCCCAAGTGCAATCCTTTTAATGAAAAACAAGTTCAAACTGCATCCTATTTCAGAGCTAGATGAGATAAGAATTTGCAACTTTCATCTCATTTTCTATTACAAAAGGGATCCCTCCGATATCTTTTTTCTATATTTTTGAAAATATTTAAACAAAAAAAAAGAGGAAAGAAGTCAAACCATTGACGAAGAATAAACACAACCGGTTACGGGGGTCTTTGTTTGAAAAAATGAATTTTGAAAAAAAAAACCGAAAAACGCGCGTAGAATATTACGTGAGAGTTTACGTCACGGTCAACGTGGTGTGAACATGAAAGTGAAATTGTTGAAAAGGAGAATCGTTTCATTATTAATAAAATATTATATTATTATCATTATTATTATTATTATGCTGATTGCTCATCCATGCAGTTAAACCTGTAATAGGAGAAATGGAAAGATGAAGTTCGATTGTTCAGTCTTTCTTAGTTTTCTTTCCGTTGCTCAAGTAGGCGTTATTAAAGAATTTCATGAATAAATAAAAGTATGAAATGTAAATGGAGAAACAGAGCATCAAATTGAAGTTCGTCTGTTGGCAAGGTGTAGATCTGAAAGCAACTTAGAGCAGCTTCAACAAAAATCGATAAAAATACGTGAAAAGCTTAAGGCCAAGAACAATGCAGCTGATGATCACGCCACCAATCATTTGGGTTATTTGAACCATAGTAACACTGGCCGATACGTTCTGAGAAATGAAGGATCAGGATGAATGAAAATGAAATGAACTGAATACTTTAGGAGGTTTATATCCCATTGAAGTTAATGTGTAGTATGTATACATTGCAGAATGAGCTGCAAAGTTCATGAAAATGAACCAACGTCCAGCAGCAAGGGATTCAGAGCCTGCAGGGAAAAACAGAAGATTATTCAAAATAGGATATAGTGCATGAAATACCGGATTGGAATGTGTATATCAGAACACTCACGTGGTGATAACAGTGCAGAAATGATAAATGCTTTTTCCGTAATGCCAAGAACACGGTATCTCCTGAATAATTATGTCAACAACCATAAGCGCTCAAGTTTAAGTACCTAATTCCCAGACTTTCGATAATGAAAAGAAGAAGTACCAGTGAGCGGACACAGAGTCCTGATGGAACGTGTAGCAGATTGAGTGATAAAAGCTATGTTCATTCAAAACGAAAAGCATTTCTTCTACACTTCGTGCTAGCCTTCAAGTTTTTGATACCGGCATAACCTAACGAGGTAAGGTTACCTACCCGACGAGGCTGAAAGTAGCAAGGATGGCGTTCCAAGCAATGAGCTGTGTTTTGCAGTGAATAGCTTCTCGTTGTTTCATATAGTTTTGCAAATACTTCAAACCGAGCATAAACTGATTTATAGAGGATGATGAATACTCACCTTGATGAGAATCATGTACAGTATTCCGACAATAGCTGTATAATGCCATTTCTGCTCATACAGGCTTTTGATGTACTCAGAGTTGATACCAGATGCGAATGGTAGGACGATATGATGCTTGTATGGAATATTCAAGGTATCGTTTGCCATCTGAAAGACGATTTGAACATCCATGAATGTCTTGTTTCTTTCGAAGATTTCAAATGTTCCGCTACAACAACAAATCTGCTTGTACATCTACAAGCTTTCTTTCATCAAATACATAAAGAACTAGTTGTGTGATGACTTAAATAGATCTGTCACTCTTGAAAATACAATGTTTGAACATTTTTTTGATGAAAATATCCAAAGCACTGTCTGAAAATTGTTTTTGCTCTCTCTGTTGCAACGCTGTATGAGGTATCAGCTTTGTCGAAGATGAAAAGCTTTGGCTAATCGGAATGCAAAGAAACAATTGGATGAAATCAATTAACTCGTCTTCTCACAATTCTATTTCTCAAACATTCAGAGATCTCTTTGGGTTCTATCATGTTCAACTGGATTTTCATATTGTATTCCCATATTTTGAAATATATGTTTGATACAGTTGATCATATAAAAGTCTGAACAAAAAATGGATTCCAACCAGTACAGCCATATCAACTATGAGTCTTTTGAATATGTATGCATTCAAGTATACTATGCTAATCACCGTGAGTACACGTAAATACTCACGTGGACAAACGCGTTCAGCTAACTGTTTCAATTAGCATGCGCATTGAACGGTCAGTCTGATCATCGGATTATAAACAAAGAGCGGGTACTAAAAAAACGCATTTGTTTATTTTTGTTTTAAAAAACAGATTGGTTGTATAGATTGTCCTAGGAACTCACTCACGTGAAGGAATATTTTTTATAAAATGAATTAAAAACAAAAAAATATTTTTATCTCGAACATAAAATATGCTCTTAAAGATAATAGAGAGAGTTCTTGAAAGGGGGAGAGAGAGAGAAAAGGAGAAAAGAAAGAGCTATGTGTGTGTGTGTGTGTATGTTCATGTGTATGCAGGTTGAGAGAGATTAGTGAGGGGGAGAAGAAAAGAGGAAGACAAATCTTCACAGGTACAGGAAATGAATTAAATCATTTACCAGGCGCTCTTTTAAGTTCTTACTTTTTTCTTTTTTTTCTTCCATCTTCTTTATTCTTTCTTCTACGATATCATCGATCTGATCAGTTGTTTGATTCTTGGACATGTGTGACGTAGGCATACTACATACAGAGTTCGCATCTGTTTAACTGTTTCAAATAGTAATTTAGCGAATTCCATACTCTTGAACGATTCGAAAAATAAAAATGTTATTCAGAATAAAAAAGATAAGAGATTTCTTTATTGGTTATTCACAGATGATACACATCGACATAGTAGATTCATAGAGAAGAACCATCAAGAACAAAAAATGAGAGAGAGAGAGAAATAGAAAATGATAGTTCATGAGAGTCCAAGTAGCCTACAGGAGCAGAAAACTAAAGAGTGCTATAGAGATGAAGATAGAGGGAGAGAGAGAGAGAGAGAAATAGGGAGAAAGAGAAGAATAACCTCTTTACTAGCCTCATTCAAATGTAAAGAACAATGAGAATCAACTAAGCCATTGACCAAAATCATGAGAAATCATTGCTTCTCACTGATAGTATGTATATTATAACATAAGCGAAATCTCTAAGTATTTATATGAAAAACTGTTTGCATCTGATTAAATCTCCGTCAACATGGAGATTATGATGATGATGTAAAGTAATTTTAAACAGTTTTCATTCTTATTTAAGCAATTCCATTTCACAATCTGCTGAAGGCTTCATCTGAGTAACAGGATGGAACAGCTAGGAAATGTAATATCCTCGTTTTCGGTTTTTAAAAAAAAAGAATTTTATCTTTAATTCTCTGCTGTATTCATGATATTTCCTGAAATTTTGAATGCCATAAACAAGTTTTCTCGTGTTTCGTACCTTTCTCTCTGTATATCTCATATATTTCATCTCTCTATCTCTAGACCACTCTCTCTCTTACTGCATCTCTCTCCCATTTTACTGCCAAGTAATGTTCAAGCAAAAAATAAAAGAGAGAGAGAGAGAGAGAGAGAGACAGACAGACAGAAGAGAATGAAGGTAGGAGGGAATCATTTACTCGCCCCTCTTTACAACTGATTCCTTGATACTTTGAAAATCAGAATAAGCCATCAGATCTATATTCTGTCTCATCTTATCAATAACCTTGTATCAAACACACAATTTGAAATGAAAAAAAGGAATTTTTTTGTTTTCACCATCTTGTAATATATCATTTAATAGCTTTTCCCTATCTATCAGTCATTCATCTACGGAAATCATGATAGCTTTCACTTCTTTAACAAATTTCACGTTGTGCCAACACCAATCATATCCGGTCTTTAGACATTTCTTTATCTTCTTCTTATTCTATTATTCAAAAGCTTATATTTTTTTAGTCCGATTATGCTAATTAGGCTAAGTACACGTAAAATTACGCGACGACGCTCAGATGCAATTCATATTTACAGTTCAGACTCGTTGATCGGTTGTGTTCAGTTTTCCGTCTTTCCATTCCTTCTCATATTTTCTCTCTCTTTCTTTTTCTCTTTCTCTCTCTCTTCCTGTTTCTACCTCATTTGTCTGCTCTATACTCTCTATCAGTCTGTTCTTGTCTTAACACTCACGCATGTAGCGGTTGAGGTTGGAGCCATTAAACCGCATTTGTTAAGAATGTGTTGAACTTCTTCACACAGATCAGTTGGATGTTTTAAAATAAAAAAATGTCCTTTTTCATTTAATTTTTAGCTCATCAATAGCCATTTCATTACAATTTAAGTCGTTAATATTTCTTTTATTTCTTAAGCAATTTATCTTTAAATTCTGACCACTGAAGTCATTGTGTCTTTAATGTCTCTTCTGATCTCGAAATTTACGTGTTCAATGCGCATTTTGATTTATTAATTCAATTTATTTTAATTTTAATCAATCTTCTCATTATGAGCTCATACTAACTAACTTGTTCTCATCTCTACATCATCAATTCATAACACCTTGTGAGAAAGAGAGACACGAATAAAGTTGTGAAAAGTTCATACAATAACAACTAAGAAGTTAATTATGTTTTTGTTGAATTCACATTGTAACACTTGTTGTTCACAGCTTTCACTCACCTCAAACGATCATCTTCCCACTCCCTTCTTCCACTCCTCTATTTCTTTCTTAACAAACTCTCTCAATATATGTCCTAAACCAATAGATATGAACCTCATCACACAGTAACTTGCTTCTTCCCTACTGTCTTACCTCCATACAACACATCCAACATACTTTTCTTCAAACAACATCAACACAACAAAATATAAAAAAAGGAACGAATAGATGTATCAGTTTAAACAGATTTTTTATCCAGTTTATACGCCATTTTTATAGCTTTTCTTTATTACAAAAAATATTCACAAAAATATGGTTTTGAAGGCTTCATCCCAAATATCTCAGATACTTTTTTGTACGAACAAGCTAGACAGGTCTCCATATCTATCCGTCACCATTTCTTGATCTGCCAATTGCAACCTCGATTGCCCATCTCTTGACGAACTATCATCTTTCGAACTTTTCTTTTCTACCAAAAAAAAAGAAAAGTTTGGCTTACAAGGAAAATCAATCAGTTACACATGTATAAACAATCTATAGATTCCTGTTTCATGTCAGTTAACCGCAACATGTGCAGAGACAGTGATCTACCTGATATATCTCATTTTCAAATTTCTCTCTATATCTCTCTCTTTCTCTCTTTCTCTTTCCCTCTCCTCCGTTCACTCTCTCTCACTCTTTTCCTGAGCCTTTTTTCTATAACTCTCTCTTTCTTACATAACGTCCAACTCTTAATTGGAAGTTAAATTTTTTTGTAATTTTCTTGTTTTCAGACACATCTGATCAGTAGGCATGATATGGAGATGTTCGTCCATCCTTTCAACTCTTTTAATTTTTCAGGTTAACCATTCTATTTTGGCAATCAATCAATGAATCTCTTTCAGATAGTTAACAGTCAAAGAGTAACAAATCACTTACCGAAAGATATTATAATCCATTTTGATCTCAAAGGTTTCAAGTTGAACACAAAAATATGTTTTTATCATTCATTACGTTCACAGGCGCTCCACCTCGTCCAACCTACTTCCTAGATCTTTTGACTACTATTAGTAAACTTGGAGCTACTGGTATTATTATAGAATGGGAGGTTCGGGGAACTATCATCTTGATTACTGTAGTAACGTCAAATCATTCAAGGATATGTTCCCATACTCTGGTCGGTTAGAAAGAATGCGGAATGGAAATGCTTATTCAATGGAAGAAACACTGATGATTCTTGACCAGTTAGACAGATTTTCTGTGATTTCACAAGGAATAAACTTTTTAGTGCTCATAGCCTGGGATTAACGATTGTTCCTCTTGTTCAGACATTGGGTCATCTAGAATGGATCTTAAAAACAAAGGAAGCTGCTCATTTACGAGAAGACCCACGCTATCCAATGGTTCTTTTGTGTTTTAAATGAGCTATTTGTAACAATCAACTGTTTCAGGTTGCTTGTATCGGAGATGAGGAAGCTGTAGACTTGATATTGGAAATGGTTAATCAAGTGTTGGATGTTCATGCCAAGTACCCATTGCCTTTCTATCATATAGGAGCTGATGAAGTATACCAAGTAAGTATTATCAATGTTGTTTTTATTACAGTTTTTATACAAAGATCGGAATTTGTGAAGCTGATAAAATGAAACTGTCATCGAAATTCCAAAATGACACAAAACGTTTAGTTTATAATCATATTCAACATGTTTCACTCAACATATCTCAGCAGCAGCCAAATACTAAGGTCTCTGGAGATTGTCCCTAATGATTCTAATGCGAGCTGTTGTAGGTCCTTATCTGGTTTGATGAGTTGAGAAATGGGAGTCCTGAACTCATTGAAGAATACCAATTGGATAAGCTAGTTATACCAGTTGTGTGGAAGTACACGGATAACCTGGATAAGGTATAGGCCGGCCCGTTCGAAGATTCTCAGCTTATTCAATTAAGGATCTTCCTATCGAAATGTGGACAAAGCTTTCAAAGTCTTTTCGACAAGTTTGGGGTGGGAGTGCTTTTAAAGGTTTTCGTCTTCAAAATAATAAAACTCAACCAAAAGAGTTTTAGGAGCGGATGGTGCAAACAAAATTTGGAACCGCATGAAGCCATATGTTCAAAACAATAAACAATGGCAATTTCGAAAAATTTTGAAGTAAAATGACACTTACGTCTTCAGGTTCCTTCAGAGTGTTAAATATTCGGCAATCTTCTCCGATTTTCACGGATTCATAATGACAGGATGGCAACGGTATGATCACTTCGCTTCGTTGTGCGAAACATTCCCCGTCTCCATGAGCTCGTTAGCATTGAACATAAAAATTCTTCAGAATTTTGTAATTATAGGTAAGGAATAGGGGAGATAGAGAAAAAAAACGAATAAAAGAAGAATAAAAACGAACTTTGTTTCAGAAAAAGATATTTCTGAGATTGCTATCAATCTCAAATGTCCAAAGAATACAAACATTAGTTCAATATTGTCAGGAACAGATAAATGTCGATTTCCTGGTAAGCTAATGGGCATTTTGGAGCTAGGCTTTCAAATTTCAAATGTTTTAAGGTTATAACGTACGCGATCTAATTCGGTCATTTGAAAAAATCAAGCTGTACTATGAGAACTCAACATGGATTCACAACAGGTCAGAAATAAATGAATGAAAATGCGAAACTAATGATTAACAACCGCTCTGCATGTATCTTTGACTCAAAATGAAAATTGATTTTCAGGGAAAACGGATGGCTTCAATCATCACAGATGCTCTTAGCTGCTTCCAATCCCTACAATGTAGATGTGGTGGGAAAAATTTACTCAAGCTCCATAAGTAAAATAGAAAAGTTGATATCTGATCTGCGGTAAGGGAATAGAGTACAAGTTAGCAATATGATTTCACTTAAGAATATCATTGATTGAGCTCTACTATGATGATATGGTAGAAGAGATGCTGATTGATTATATTTATCCATTTTATGATTTATTAAGAACAAGGTTTGGCAAATAACAATAAATCGAAATAGTAACGAAAATGATTACAGACTAGCAAGTGTTTCAAGGATTGACAATAGGAACTACTATCCACCACGACCTTGGCTAAGCGTAGAGAAAGAATAGAGTCTAATCTAATCTTTAAAAAGTCACTTAATGAGCTTTATTCTATAGAACAAGACGACTACTGACTAACATTTACAAAAGAAATATGAATGACCGTAATGAGTTATACCTGTTTATCACATAAATTATTAATTTATACACGTTCAATCGAATCATATCCATATGACCATGCAAAGTTACTATGAATTGGATAGTTTTCCAAACCAGATTCAACCGTTTCACTCTGGCACATTACTCGGTCCTTAAAAGGAACATATGGAAAAGAAATTGTGCTTGTCATGTGAATGGTTTTCTCTTGTCCCCTCTTGCATAACTCACCAAACAAAATTCGTAAAATGTATTTATGGGAATGGCTTAAAGGAGATTTTCTCGATATTTCCAACACACAAAAAAACGAACTCAAAAACAATTGTTTTTCGCATTGTCATAGATTATGTGTTGTCAAAAGGAGGAAATCTCTTTTGAAACGCGATTGCAAAAACGAAAAGTTCACCTTGCGGTTAATATCTCTCGTCTTCAGATATCCATATAAGAGAACAAGCAGAAGAACTGCCAATGATATTGCTAAAGCATATGCCAACACCAAATTGAATAAAGTCACTCTTTGATCAGAATCTTTCTGAAACATTTGCTGATTCATTATCGCTTGCGTCATGTTCTATCACTAACTATTGGCAATTGTTCGGTGAACAAGGATTCCGGATGTATTGCTACGGGCAACGGAGCAGACGACATCGACTAATCTGTAAGTGGACACCCTTCATCAAGTTTGTCATAATATTATCATAGCCAAAACAGCAATTTTGCTACCTTTCTTAAACAAAAAAACAAAAACATTTGCTAACTCTACAATTCGAATGGATAAGCAGTTGGAGAAGTCAAAGATAAGCTACTTGCCACAAGTAGGGAGATTCAGAAATGGGCTGAAGAGGCTAAACTCATGCATTGCTTTGAACTTTAAGCCATAAAATGTTTTAATGAAATGTTAAGCTATAAAAAGATTTAATTTCTTCAAATAGGCTCAAATTAAAAAGAAAACAAATCTTTTTGAACTTGGCAGCCCGCGAAATTTGAATTAAAAGTTTGAGAGAAATGAAAAATAATATTTTTAATTTTCTCACACTCATTTTTTAAAGACAAAAATGAGTTTGTTAAACTATGAGCTAGAGAAGGACAAAGAGAGGAACAGAGGGAGAAAGAGAGGTACACCAAGAGGACAGAAGGATATCATGAAGTAGAAGAAGAAGAGAATAGAAAGTAGAAGAATAATTGAATGAACAGCAATATTTGAAGAACGTTGATCATAATTTTCTAAAATAAACTTACGGGTAGGCACGGTGACAAAATATAAAAGGAAACTGCTTGGAGACAGATTAGATTTCTTTGAAAAGCTTATGTTACATGTGAGCTTTGATTGGCTTACATTTAATAGTGTCACATTAATGTTCCTTTTTCGGATATAATCTGTAAAAGAGCAAGATGTAATATGAAGAGAGAAGTTATGAAGCCTTCAGAAGATGAAAGTTTCATCATAACAGAATAAAAGAGAAAATGAAGAAGATGAAGAAGAAGATGAAGAACGAGAGAGAAGAGGAGGGCAGAAACGAAGGAGACACGAAACACTTGAGCAAAAAAAGGCGAAAAAGAGATGGCACAAATTGAAATGTTTTCGTGTGACGAACTCTTAGTCGACTTTGAACTACATCTCGACATTCCACGTAAAAGGAGGAAATGAAGAGTAAAAAATGAGAAAACAATATAGAAATAGTGTTTGTAGAAAGGTAGCAGAAAATGAATTTGCCGGCGCTAAGAGAGACCCTTGTGAGGAGGATAATCTATGGAGCCCTTTAACTAACACAAACATAAAAGTGAATATGCTACATTTATTATTGTCATCGAGAGAGAATTCATCTCGTTCTCCCTCCCATAATTAGTTATAAAATCTTTGAAATTCAATTTATATCTTATAAAACTTGTGGCAAACTTCTTCCCGCATATTGATGGACAGCTTGACATCCAGCTTCACATTTGTCCATCTATTCACTTATTTAGTTTCTTATAAAGATGTTAAACTTTTTCAGAGAGAGCTAGAGGAAATGACGGGAATGAAAAGGACAAACTAAGACACAACCGTTTCCCGCCACTAGTAAATTTAAAATGAGTTTTTTTCTCACGTAGTTTCGACGTGAAAAAAAAATGTCGAATTCAAAAACAACCAACAAATGTTTTTTAATCAACTGAATTTGAATAGCAATGTTGTATCTGTTGGAATGTGCCGCAAACATTTGTCTATTAAGTCGTTTCACGGATAATCATTAAGGAATTTTGAAATGCAAAGACCACGTATAAATCAAAAAAATGCATACGGAGCTTTCCCGAGACGACGTCGACATTAAAAACACTCAATGGGCCAATCATGAGCTCTATAGAGCATTGTTGTTGTTGTTAATCTGAAAACAAGTAAACAACGAGTGATTTCGGGGGAAACTGATATATATATAATATAGAGAGCTAAGTGTGTATGGACGAAAAAAGCGCAAATAAGCATACATCTTTGTGGGATTCGATTCAGGATATCGCTTTAACGATGCTTTAGGGAATAAGTATAAATGCGTCTCTCTTGAAAGTCACTTATTTTTTTGAACAAAAATCCAATTTTTGGAGAAGTGTTAATCTACCAACAGCCTTTCGAATGGAATGAAAGGTTCAAGTTCAGAACTTAGGAGAAAAACTAATCACAAAAGGATGACAAGTATAATCAGATGAAGTGAGACTGACAAACTTTGTTTACGCGAGGAACAAGATGTATGGCAACTTGATGGAGAACTAATATGGAAAACACATTATATTTCTTTAAGAACAAACAAGAACATCCGTGACAGGATATAAAAATTGTATTTGAAAAGTTCACAAGAACAATGAAGCAGACAAGAGGAAAATTAAAAGAGCCATCTGGCTTGTGGGCGCAACTTAATGCAAGCCAACTTCAACTCTCCAGAGAGAAGGCAGTGTTTAACAACTAGAAGTTTCCGAAAAAAAAACTATTTAAGTATGATACTTATGAAAATTAATATATGACAATGTTAGGATTAATATAAGTTATGAACGACCAGAATTGTTGAAGACAAGATTGGGAGGTACAAACGATTAGCATCTTACGGGTTAGCATGTTAGAAAAAAAATAAAAACTACACTAAACTCATTGTAACACGGGTTAGGAAGGAAGGGAATGAATGGAATCTACTAAAGCTGATGCAGGAAACTTGTTTCGATTTAACAAAAATATCATAAATATATCACAAAAATACTGCAGTAACTAGAGAAGCAAGAATAAGCACCTTGAAAAGCCACGCAGAGGAAGACACCGTATCTGTCGAGAAAAGATCTGAGAAGTATGTACAGACAAATATCCAAACAACAAATTGAACTAAGAGAAAAAACAGATGGGGAACGTTTTCACATGTGTTTGCCATTGAGCTGATGTTTGGAAGTATTTCACACAGTGGAAGACATTGCCGTCAACGGACACTGAAAAGTGAATAATGAACAGCACTTCAGATGCAGAAATATGTCCGTATATACCTGATAGATCGCTATGTTTTCCCAGACCACTACAAAGGAGTCTTGTTACTCCGAGAACTTGGACTGTGTCGATATCGCTTTTCTTGAAAAAAACAAAAAGATCTGCTCTACTGGAAACACACTTACTTGGCCTTTATTCATTCCAAGTTTTTGTAGCATTTTTCCTTTCCTCTTTTCCCTTATAAAACTCAAAGATAACAAGTGATGATTCAGAGATCTGAATTTTCCTTTCAATATTATTAATTCAATTTATGATGCTTTTACCGAGATATCATAAGACTACGGAAAGCCGTTTTCAAAGAACCCTTGTTGTGATCCTTCTTCGAGTTTATGTTGGAATTATAAGAGAGGACTGAGTCCTAAAATTACAATTAATATGTTACTTCAAAACTGGAAGCTACATTGGAATGCTCTCGTCCTATCCAATATTCAACATTCATCTCACGAGCATCCAAGCGTGTGTGGGGACTGCATGGTGGAGAATAATTCCCTAGAACAACAAAACTTCGTTTCATCCAATTTCCTCTAAAGTTAAACCTTGATTCAAGTTTTTAATGAAAGAACTATCATCTTGACCCCTCGGAGTTGCTTCTTCATCTTCGATTTGTCCTACACGGACTTCGGCCAAAAAAGGAACGAAAGTAGCACTTGCTTCCATCTAACAGCGTTTTTAGCATATTGAAGATAATTAGAAAAAAACCTCATGAGTGTCACAGAGCTGTAGTAAAGCTTCTCCAATAGGGAGAGCTATTTTCTGACCCAACTTAGCAGGACATTCTTCTAATTTTTCTATGGTTGTAGAAATTTCTTTAGGGGAAAGCTCGTGCCACCTCTCCCAAATATCCCTGCAGATATAAGAAAACTCAGAATCTACGCCTGAACAAGATTATGAATTGACATCCTGATTACAGTATAACCGTATATCAGTCTTCCGATTAAAGAGCTTGGTGGAGAAACTATGACAAAACAGAGATATTGAAGCCAGTTGCTTGATGATTTATGATGTAGACAATCAACATAGGCACGAAGAACCTGGAAACAATCAGATCTTCTTCCCCCCCCCATGAGATAGAAGCTAACCTGACTGACAAGCTTATCATTCCCTATCAATCCAACAACGGTTGTTGGAGGATTGGCAGAATTGCTGTTGCAACTGAAAACATTCGACTAGTGAAAAGAAAAAGTGCATAAATTACAAATTATGAATTTTCGCTATTATTTGACTCAATGCTTGTTTGACAAGAGCAGCTGTATTGCAAACAATCATCGGCAAGCTTCCAAACTCGTGATGATAACCTTCCGAACTACTAATCCATAGAACAGAAGGAGGTAAATCTGATGATAACAATGATGATAACTGAAAAAACCATCTGATGAATGTTTTTCCTATTTTCATACCTTATCCAAAACAGCTGAAGTTTTACCGGAATCAGAAGAGTTTAGTTCATTCTTTACTATGCTCGATATCGTTTGAGAATGAGGCACAGTCAACAATGTATTGATCCCTGTTAGGGGGACACTATTTGTCAAAGAAACTTTCGACTGTGTCTTCGATGGAGCCTGAATAAGCTTCTGAATACTCATTATCCGGTTATGTTTTACTGTATTGTTTGGAGTTGAAAGAGGCGAGTTTTTCGGAAACGTCATATTGTGTCTATACGTGGTATCTTTCGTATTCTCTTCTGAAGACCAATCCAGTTCCTCATTGTCGCTATCGGAGGCAAGATCCCCATCCTACCAACAAAATGTTGTAATAAATAACAAGTAATAACCCACATTATCATATATGGCAGGGAGTACTTCTCGAGAGTGAGTGAAATATGGTCGAAGCGCTGGGCGAGGGTTCGATCCAATAGAAATGTCATCTCCTCCCATTTCTGGGCCTGGAATAACAACATAAGAATTATTGAAGTTCAAGGAGATATACCTGAATCACTCATTTCTTCTAACTCCTCAAAGATAGCTTCTATTTCTTTAGCTGTTGGTGCGTTTGACACAGAAGCTACGGCACTTCTCTCCAGAACCTACAAAACGATTATGATGGACATTTAACCAAAGTATAGAAACATACATCATCCTCGGCGACTTTGAATTTTTTCAACAAGTTACTGAGCTTTTGTTTCAAGTTTTTCCGTCTGACAAGCTTACTCTTCAAATCTCTATTGCGAGAATCACTGTGGCTGCTAGAAGGCTCGATAATCTCGCTATCCAACCCCATTTCATCATAATCACTTTCTGACTCTTCCTGTTAGGATTGAGTAATAGGAATGCAAATTATAGAAGCCGTACTTCACTCAGATCACCGTCTTGGCCTGACTTTTTAGTAGATCTTCCATCTCTATCACAATCGTAGTCCAATGGTGAAGTATGACATGTTGAAAAAGAGAGTCGTCCAACACTGTGAACTGAATTGAAAAAGTGTACTCAAATAAAAAGCAAGTACTGGTACTAGCTGTTGTTTCCTTAGAGGTATCTTCAGCATTCCATAATGTGATTTCTCGCAAATTACCCATTTGCAACAGTTGAGAAAGGTTGATCATACCTAATACAGACAAATGAAAAAAAAACAGAATATAAATCAAACCAATGGCGACGGTTTTGAAGCCTCCTGGTATAGGTCTATTCTTGTACTTCCTGCGTCGTTGGATCATGATTTGAAGAATGTTTCGGCCGCGTTTCAGGAAATGTGGATACTGAGAAAATTATAATTTCTGACGTTGTGTTTGAAGAAGCTTACTTGAATGTTGAAAGATACATCCAAAGTGATATCTACTTTCCCATTCTCAGGATTAATGACTATATCGTTACATCTCAAAGTTCTCTTATATCCCTTAAGCATCGCAATGGTTAAACAACATTTCCGAAAATACATACCTCAAGTCTTGCAGTGAGCACAATGCTTTGCACAGAAATTGGGAAAGACGTTAATTCCAAACGATTAATTCCTAGAGTGAAAACACTGAAACGTTCACGTAAATCTCACTTGTGAATGTTAACAGAATGAAAATTATTTTTAGCGTTCGATGCATGCGAAGCGGTTGCAACCTACTCAGCATGCTCATTCATGAATTTGAAACGCGAGAAAGAAATACCGTTGCACTGTGCTCGAACTAGCCCGATCAGTTTCCCAATTAGCGAAAAGTCGCATAGCGACTGCACCAGTCTTATCCATCCTTCAGTTTTTTATGATAACATCTAGAATTAAGATGAACTGAGCAAGAATGTTTTTGAAGATATGTTGAAAGAGAAACATCGGTTGAAACGAATAAACAAAACGGATAAAACAAAAATTTATTATAGTAGACTAGGAATCGTATACCCGTAGAGTTGAATTCCGCTAGCAAATGAGAAAGCTAACGTATTATTATCAAGTATTGATGCATAGTTGGTCTGAAAAAAAGGTATTAGTGAGTAATATGATAGTGACATACCAAGATCTGATGAAACCTTTTTCTTCCGTCATGTCCGGAGAAGTTGTTAGGAGTAAATGTTTTCTTATAATTCTAATCTTTTTCACTCCTGCTTCCTGCGCCTGAAATTCAAAAGATTTCTGTTGTTATACTTCAAGAGGAGTACCGGTTCAAGTATTCGCGTGGTAATAACAGTTGTACATTTCTGGAAACATTAATAAGATGGTTAAAACTAAATGAAAAAACCTTTTTGCCACCTAATATGTTCGGTTTCTTTACACTATTGATAGTGGACTCATCTTGATTCGTGACTGTTTCTGAACGAAGGGTAATTAATGTAGTTTATTCGATAGAAAGATCACATGACTACATAGCAGAAGAATAAGTTACCTTTCGTTTCATTCGTGGAAGTGGTAGCTTCTTTCATATCCTCATTCTCAAGATATGATAACACCTGGAAGGGAATAAATATTGAAAAATAAGGGTGAGAAAAATAACCTCAGATGATGTTTTCTCCGGAGTTAAAAACAAATGTGGTATGAAGTCTTCATGTGACGGATCATTTGTAGGCCTTCCTTGTCGAAAATGAATGCTACATATTTTATCATGCCGTCTTATAACCTAAAGTTCGATTGGATTGAAAGTAAGAGAGGGTTTGAAACTTTTTTTCGTACAGCGTGCATCCATAAAAAACGTTTCAATCCAGGTTCCTTGGGCAATCCGAAGAATTTAATATTTTTGTAGCATGTTGAGCGATTCCACCCGCAAAATATGCAGCGATCACTCATTTTAAACAATACGGAAATCGAGAAATATTGTTTTTTTCCCTCTGTGTGAAAATAGAAGAGGTGCGAACGAGCCGAACCGACGATGAAGCGCACACACGACGAGAAATTGCGACTGAGGGGACGCAAAAAATGAAAACACCGAATAGCTTCAAAGTCCAATTGGGGAATAGAAGGTCAGAATGATGGCTTTGTTTAAGCAGAGCATTCCACAGAATATCCGAATCTATGGAGCGAATCTAATTGAATTCGCTCCCAATCCGGTTTTCTTTAAAAAAATGAATATTTAACAACAAAAAAGAGAAGAGTGGCATGATGCATTCATTCATTACAATGAAATTACGAAAACAATTCATTCAATATACATTATAAAGATTGCATTTTATTCTTCATTTTCGAAATTTCCGATCGTAACCGGACTTCCTGTTGTTTAAGATCTCGGTTCCGAAGTTCCAGCTCGCGCAGTTGCCTAAAATGAAATAATCTTGCTAACACGCAACTGATAAGATAACGAAAATTTTGCAGAGAAAAGCGCTTCCACGAAAAGAAATGATCATTAAAGAACCCACACTTTCATCTGGTGTTTGTCCCTTCTTTTTCGTTCTCTGTACCTTAGGGCAGCAACTCGATTCATGGCTCGACGTCTTTCAGTCTCATCATCAACTCGTGGCTGAAAATAAAGAATCCAGTCTGAGATCATTAAAACTATTGTTACCTTCAAGGTAACGCCTCTTTTCTTCACAACTGGTTGATAGTACCAATCCCGTACTGGTGTATATCGGTTATCTATACAACGGCTCTTAATATCGGGCTTGATATCTTCATAGTCGTCATACTAAAAGTATTCAATAAATAGGGTTCGACGCAGCTGAACCTACAGGCTCCGACTTGATATTGGGAACAACAGCCTGGGTATCATCTTCTGAACGAGGACTTTCATAAACAGTTTGGTCAGCTTCATCGGGTTCTTCTTGTTTAACATCAAGGAAAGAGTCCCAACCATCCCAATGTTGTTTACTGTCAGATTCGATACTCTGTTCTAATTCTGTTAGCGAAGCAAAATACTGGGCGCAGCTCTGTAAAAAATATGCTGAACTGCAAGTTTATTAAATACATAAAATTCCACTCAGTTACGTTTGTCTACAACATGGAGGGTAAGAGCATACGGGCTCTGTTCATGATTAGCATGATTATCATCATAGTGGATAAAAAAAAATAAACCGACTAACCGATAGATTGAGAACTTTATCTCCTTCTAACCAATTCTCTTCGCTTTCTGGTTCTGATTTCACACTCACAGAGGTGAATAAATTTTCAATTGAAGAACCTGAAGCTTTATTTGTTTAAGAATTATCAGAGAAAAACGTCTTACTGGAAGTACTTGTACAACGAGAGCGAGATGGAGTCGATGGCAACTCAGCATCATTGAGATCAATAGATTCACCTATACCAAAGAAAGGATCACAGCTTGAACTTGAGCTGAAATTTGTAACTACTCAAACCAAGTTTCGAATCAAACATACTTTCTCTGTCTAGGTGGTAGAGATATTTTACAGTAAGCAGCATGATCATGAAGAATATGCTGCTCAACGCTCACCGTTGGGACAACTTTAGGAGCGGTTGGGGCGTCCCGTAACAGGGAACATCCGCCCAAGACATGAGGGCTCACGTATGAGGTTATTCTGGTTATTCTGGACAACATTCGGAGATTTCGCGCTCACAGCAACAAGATAGGGCGACATCTTCTAAAAACAATAAATTTGCTGAGAAAAGCATAATTATAAACGATACCTTTGACAAGTTCAAAAACGATTTGCAAACTTTTAGAATCCAGCGATCATATCGCTGAAACTTCTAATAAGATACACTGCACGTTAAGCTGAAATTAGGACTGAACGTCCTCCGATGCCGAGCAAATAGTCCGCCCACTTTACGGTGTTGCGAAATTCATGTCTGTCGCCACAGGACCCTTTTCCCACTCCTCTCTCCTTCGTATTTCTCTCGTTGACGTCATTCGAAAACCAAAACACAGGTTTCTGAATGATATTGCAATGTAAATTGCGAAATATATTGAGGAAAAAAAAGAAAAGGACAAAAAAGCAGAAAATGTGGTCTGCAAAGATAATATACTGAAGGAGAGTATTTCGAAACAAAGTAATTTGAGCTGAAATCAGCCAGGAACAAGGAATAAGGATAGGAATATGGGAACTAATACTGAAAATGAGAAAAGAGCATAAAATAATGGGAAATAGATTATAATACGAAACGTAGAAGGTAGAAAATGGAATGCAACCGCTCACAACGTCAATTAGTAGTAAAATGAAATACGAGACAGGGACATCATTTTTTATTCTAATCTGATAATCTTGTCACATTAATCAAATAAATGTCAAAAACATATGATAGATAAAAAAGCTTGAAAAAAAAATTCAAAAATGTGCTTTACTTCTGGACCTGAAGATTGCGTAATGAGCCTACCATAACCCAAGGGAAAGTCTCTGCGAGAAAACCTGCCGAAACATCATGATGCAAATGATTACGATAATTCGACCGATTGTTGAAAAAAAAATCGAGATTTGGAATTTTCATAGTAAAAATAAGTGAAAACAAACTTAGCAAAAGAAACAAACACTTGAAATTAGTGAATTTTGTAACTTATAGGAAGCGGGAACGTAAACATTCAAACCTCTCGTTCAAAACACAACTCGTGAGAGCAAGGCATAGAGATCTACCATCTTACTACTTTATTTATCAGTCACTATTCACAGCACATAAATTGAATATGACTGGAAGATGAATGGAGAGGGGTCAGAGAAAGGCGTGGATATAGATCGAGGAGGTCAGCAGATCTTAGAAGTTAGTCGGTAATTGTATGTTTTTTTCGTGAACCGCGTCGTTTTCGCATGTGAATACTTCTAATTCAGACACTCAGTAATAAAAAATGAATTTGATGGAGCTACCCAACGAAATCCTGGATATGATTATCACCTATTTAGAACCCGAAGAGATCAGTAATACCTGTCAGGTAAATAAACGGTTATATCATCTTGTACATAAAAACTCGAGGATAAGGTATGACAAAGGAGAACCTTGTTACCGTCACGTTCCGATTTTTCAGGCGGTTTCCCATTAAGAAATTAGAACTTCTAGATGTCAAAGAGCATGTTTGTATACATATCTGGACAGATGTCATGAGACATGGTAATAAGGAATGTGCTGTAAGTTGACTGTTCTTGTTCCTAATGAAATACGATTCTTATAGACTTTTTGTAAAACAACACATCATTCTCAGTTATTTCATTTTATTTATTTGTTCAAAGTTCACAGTTTGGTGATAGATGGTCGTTCAAACAAACTGAGGAACGCGCTGAAGTCTATACCTACATGGTGGTTGGATTCTGTGAAAATTGTGAGAAAAAGCAGTACGGTCATGTGCAACTAATATTTTGTTCAAATTCAAGCTGAATATCAAGGAAACGCAATGTGATCTGGACATGTTGAACTTTATGCGCCGCTTGAGGAATTGTCCTGAAGTCTCCATTGACCCACACTACACTATAAACTACATATCAGATGTCCTTTTGGAGATGAATTCTTTGAAACATTTAGGGTTTCGCTTTTGATATTAAACATGAAACAAATTTTGTTTGCAGATTAAAGAATGCCAGAACAGTGCTGTTTGATGACAATACCCTGGATGTTTTGGTGAGTCTCTCGAATAGGAGCGATACAGGATTGAAAAGCATAGAGGTTTCTGATGCTGTCACCTCTATAACTACAAACAAATTGATAGAATTCCTATCTGTAAGTTCATATTGTCATTTTACAATGTAAAGAGTATTGAATAGAGAATAAAACATTCTTTATTACAGACAGCAAAATTCGCAGCAAATTGTACTATGAAGTTTGAAGGTCTCGATCTAGAAGAGAACGAATTGCTTAAATTTCTGGAAGAGCAAGGAAGCCTTAAGGCATCAGCTGCTGATAATTACAAGTTCACTTTGGGTGACAGAGAAATCACCCTCAGTGTAGGCAGAAAAACAGATAGCTCTGATTCTCTTTCGTATAACGAATGAATATAGTCTCTGGTTATTGCTTACAAGGAATTTATAATACAAAATTGAAAGTTTACATTCATATTTCTTCGCAAAGAAATGTTTTTGAGAGTTCAAATACCCTTTGATCTGACTCGTTTCCGCTGGCGAACGGAAACTGAAGTTTTTTTTTCCAAATATCGGAAGCTTTGATTATGATTAGGATGATAATCAGGGGAGAAAAGAAGGATTCGTGCAGAACTGGCACAAGATGAGATCTGATAAAAACGGAAATGTGATTCGTACCCAATCGTAGATATTTCGTGAGAAAAATGAGGATTTCTATTCTGATGGCTTGTGTGGAATTTCAATTATTCTTGACTGTCGTAGCCATTGCTGTGACATAATCTCCCATTTTGTTTTCTTTTCCATTCATCCATATATCCACATTTCATCCCATCTACCTAAACTTCCTATATTAATGGAATAAGGTTCAAATATAATCTGACCAAATAACTGAGCAACGAAATCCAGGCTTTGACTGCTTCACGCTTGGAGCGAACACATTCAACTTTAGTTATGACCTTAAAAAAGGATAATGAGCTCTTGGAGAGGTCTATATCAATCAACCTCTGTCAAGCATTCACCCAGTTGGTCCCATAAGCTTCCACAACATCTTTCATTCATATTCACATGTGAAGCCCCAATATCCATACAACGAGCCTCAAAAGTCAATTAATATGTCGAGGAGAACCCAAAAAACACCTACTTGTACAATTTTTGAAGACTGAGTCAGATCTGACATTAAAGAATCTAATAAATCTGCTAAAACCTGCAATTGGATGATTCCAGTTGCATAGAAAAACATTTTGCATACCTTTGCATGCATATTCAAGTCACAGCATTGATTCGATCGGAAACCCTCAACAATGGACATCTTTTGAAACATCTCTCGACAAATTGTCGATTTGAAGCATAGCAACCTGTGGTGAAGAAGATAATCTCATTAGCAAGTACTATATCCTTACTTGAAGACCTGGGCAAATGTATTGCTATTTCCTTTAATCCTGGTCCATGTCGTTTGAAGCAGCTGCATTTGATATCTGCAAACGGAAAAGAAAAGTATATTAATTTTCAAGGAAGGATCTCACGGAGAGAGTTTTAGCGAATCAACCAGTGATGCACCGGCTTCCCCACCATTTTCCAAATGAACGGCAGCCCGAGAAAGCCTTCGACCTTGCTGATTTCCCATGTCTTCTCTACCAGTTAACGAAAGCTTGGGTTTGAAATGTCTGAACGGATCTTATTTATGTGAAGTTATTAAAGTGTGTGATTACCTAAGATCTGAAGCACAATCCGTACTCAAACGGTGATGCTGGAGGTTTATATTGGAATTTGGAGGGAGTCCTACGTCGGACAGCTTATGTGCAAGCTTTCGATTTTCAGATTGTAAAAGATTATGTGAAGAATGGTTAGTTTGACTTTGCGGTGTGATTGAATGACCAACGATGGATACGCGTGGAGAGAGATGTCCTGTGTTGACCTAAAATAATGAAAAAAATTGAAACAAGAAACATAGTGAAGAAAAAAAAGAAAAGAAGTAGGAATCTGACGCCTATTGTCTTTTGGTTGTCCATCTATTAAATATGGAAGAAGTTTAAATACGTCCAGCTGTACTTCTTCTATTTCTCAAACGGCTTTTTAAGCTTTGGAATTTCAACCTCATGTTTTAGTAATTATTATCCGAGCCGTAATGGTTTATGAAAACAATGAAAATTTATGAGCTGTCAAAGAGAAGGAATTAAAAAACAAAAAAGAATCGCCATCGGATTTGGTCGTAGGAGAGGTGGCTACCGGAAGTCAAAGCAAACTCAAGAAAGTTCTGTTTAAGATTTACATTTTAAGCTTCGCCACACTCGATATTTATAGAATTTTCATTTGAACTATCAAATGAAAAAACTGACTAAAAGTATGAAAATTAGAAGACATATATAGGTTTTAGCTGGTCGATAAGCTTTCGAATATTTTGAATTCATAACAGGAAGTTCTAAGAAAAGGTTATTATGAGGTTTATGGTCAGAAAAGTTCAAAAAAATGAAGAAAAAAAGGAATGTTAGCATGGAGTAGAAACATATCTTCATAGCTATTGTGCTCGTACCAGAAGATTTCTACCGAAAGAAGGAAGGAAATAATTCATTAAGGGCATTTAAGCTGCTCAACTTCCGCCTCTTCTGAACGGGCTAAAAGAACCTAAGTATACAATATAGGACGAAAGTTGATTAAAAAGAAAAAAAAAGTATTTCAAACCCATATTGCGATGCGAAGAAGCTCAGCTTTATCTTAGGCAGTCGTGACATAAAAACAAATGGGGAAACTTTATAGTTTTTACACATTTTCAGGAAGTTTTTACTTCTTCTCGGTGGCAGGATCTAAAGAAAGGCTACCAAAAAGGATAAAGAGGAGAGCGAAGATGTAGGTGACACTAGATAGCTGAGATAATATTTGGTTTGTTGTTGCAGTTGAAAGGAATGCATGGAATCATGAATTGTAAATGTGTCCAAAAAGGCCAATAAACGACTTGAGAATTCTGCTTTTCCAGAAAACAGACAAGTCAGGTAGGATGAGCAAGCTGCTCCGACTGAGAAACATTAAGATTATCACGAGAACGTCGAACTGTTGAAGAGCTTCATTGTAAAGATTGCTCACAAGCATGAATAAGAATGGAATTCTTCATTTGTTTAAAATGTTTCATATGAATCTCAAAACTCAGCTTCATTCCAAGCAAGCTAAAGTTATAAGGCTTGAAATAGCTTACGTATATTGAAGTTCTCATCTTCATACTCATATACCCACTTCGCCTCTTCTGCTTCTCTCTTAGATGGGAAAAGCCAAATATAGTGATGTGGAAATAGAGAGAAGTAGTGATAGGATGAGATTGGATAAGTAGAGAGTAAGGCGTAGCTTGAGTACGAACAGTCAACGCTCAAAGATGAAATTTCAAAAAATGACTTTGAAATGAAAAAATCAAAAGAGCAGTACCGTTTTAGTCGAAATCTTAGTCTAATCTCTAAATACGACATGATTCAACTGCATGGCTTCATGCGTTCAAACGTGATAGGATAAGAGACAGCTTCTGTCTGCAAAACTAGAGTGTAAAGGTCACGTTGGCAAAGCGTGAAAAGGCTGTTTAGTTTCAAGCTCAACAATACTTGTGTGTTATTAGGTGTATTGAGCCATTCCGAATATCCCCGGAACTAGACAAACAGGTCTCAATCGTGTTTGTCTTCATCGTAACTTTAGAATGCAATTCGGTCAATTTTCTAAACTATGGAGTTAGTAGAGAGCAAAACATTCTCATAAGATTCTAAAACTTCCTATATGTTATCTATAAAGTGTACTTGACTAAGACATTCAAAGAATTTCAAGCCAATGACATTGAGCTTAATGAGACGCAAAATATGCAAACAGTGTTTTAAACTTGCAAAAAGCTACAAGAAAAATCTTTCTGAATACATTTCCTAAGAATGATGAGAGATAGGAAGAAGCATGACAGTTGAATTCAGCATTATAAAGCATTGGACAACCCTCCATGATGTCGACCCACTCTCACAGTTCTAAGTCTATCTCTCTCTTAGTTTTCAATTTTTGCAATCATAAATAAACGGCTCCGTATGTAATTTGTAGCTCAGATATAAATCGTCTCCTTCTCATCACTCTGTTGACATGTATGAGCGTTGGAAGATTTGTATTCTTACGCCTCCCAAGATTCATTCATTATCAATAGCAAAAGCAAAAGTGAACGCACAAACTGTGAGGGCATCAAATTCAAAACAAAATCATCCAAAACTATCAGAACAGTCATTTTTCAAACGATGCTCAGAAGGAAATTAAAGAATTGCATGGCCTTAGGTGGAAAAAAAATACTCCTACATATAAGGCAGATTGTCTTTCTAGCTCCAAAATTAAGAAAAAAAATGAAAGGAAATTAAAAGGCTCTTGGTGTGGTTCTTGCAAGATAGGCAGAAACTAAAGAATTGCAAGATACTGAAACGTAATGATCTAACTGTTAAACAAGTTGACAAAAAAAGAGTAATGACGAACAATCAAAGTCAAAGAAGACTCGTCTTTTCCGCCGACGTCAAACTCTGTTCTCCAGACTCTGTCTAATCCTCGATTGTTACTAGATCCTGTCTTTCCTTTTTTGAATTCTCAGCCATCCTTATGAGCCAATTATCAAAAGAGACAAGACGAAAGGATGTGTGAGGACAACGAATCCCACGTTCCGCATAAAGAAAGTTTCCAAAATTTTTGATGGCAAAGCTCTGACAAGAAGAAGTTCAAAAACTACCAACACTTTCATAATAAAAGGAAGTCACCAACGTTTCATGAGGCTATAAGAAGAAATGAGAAAACAGTTTAGAGGAGAAGAATGAGAGTCACCATGAAAACGAAATATGACGTGGATTTCACGTGTGCGTGTGTAGTCATTTTCAATTGTATGCATGTGTAAGACGGTTGCTAGCTCAAAGATCCTACGTAAGCAACTAACCTGACGTAATAACGTCGCATCCAAGCTTCTTCGACTTCCTGGTTTCATCGTTTCGACAGGTGTAAATGATTGCTCGTTGCCCATCTTTGAAGACAGAAGTCTTTCGTATGAAGTAATTGATAGAATATGCAATTGTTTGCGATCGAATAATATTTCAAAGACGAACCTGTAAAGAGGGAAGGATAAGTACTATTGGAAAGAGAAGAAACAACTACAAAGAATAACATTGTGTTTATAGATAGTAAAAGCTTAAATGCATAAGAGAAACATGACGAAAAGAAAAAAAAAGAAAGCAAAATAATTGAAATAAACAAAATATGGATTAGCAAATAGCAAAAATGAATATTGAACATGAGAGTGGTAGTAGCCTGCAATGACAATTCAGAGATAGCAATGGAGGAATAGAATGAGACTAATCGTTTTCTTTTCATCATTCAACGCATAATTATTAATTTTATACATTAAATAAAGAATATTCACTCAAAAGTCACCACTGAATATGAGTTCATCAATACAAAAACTAAACAACAATGATAGAAACAAAAAAAAGAAAGAAAGAAAGAAAATGAAAATGAAGAAGTCAAATGTCATGAGGACGAAGACATAAAAGCATTCAATGAGGGTATACGTTTAACATACGTAATGTTACATTTAAAAAGCAAATTATTATTATTATTTTGTTTTTAATTTTAACACAAAAACCAAATATTTTTGAGAAAGTTACGAGAATACATTATCTTTAATCGAGTCAGTGCCAAGACAAGCAGGGCGCTTAAACGTATCTCAACATTCACTCTGTCTTCGTCGTGTGGATAACATGATGCATGAAGAAGAAGTCAAAGCTATGGCAGATCAGACTTAATTGACTACTTCATTAGATTTTCCATTGAAAAAAAAGGCAAAATAAACTTGAAAAAACGGGGTTTTCTTCATACAAAATAAAGGTTATTAACCAAAAGTAACTCGATGACATTGAGGGTGAACTGACAATTGGAGGAACGTGGGCTGGACGGAGTATAAGTATGCGGAATTTAATATTTTCCGAAACCTTTGGACCTCTTCAATCTCAATTCCCCACAAAACTACGTTACTTCTATAATTTGGTATTAGCTTAACGAAATGTTAGCGAATGAAAAGAAATATGAATTCGATTCGACATTGAGATTGAGACAAAGACGATGCAGTCAACTGGATTTTTACAAATATACACATTTCTAAGACTACAATGCAAAAATAATTGGAAGTATACAAAGTCTTTGCATCGCGATGTCCTGAGCCTTGGTAACGGTTTTTTTGCTTTCTCTCTCAGATAGTTAAGACTCTCTATTTTAGAAAGTTCACTGAAGCAGAATCAGAGGGTATGAAATGTATAGGATCTAAGATACATCTGATGAACTGAGACTGAAAAATGTTCAGAGCGGACAGCTGAAAACCTTTCTAGCTTATCAATTACACTCAATACCACTCCGCCCATTTAGCAACCTAACTCCTTCTCCGTGGTCGAGCAAACCTGATCAAATCTTCGACTGTAAGGCTTTCTAGACCAGCAGTTGCTTCAATATAATAATAATAACAACCAAAAAATATCTTCAGAATAAATCATTTATTCTGTTATTAATTCACGATTCAATAGCCATATTCACAACATATGGGACTGCTGCTCCCCCCCGCGGTTTGGAAGTTGGTGAGATAGTAGGATCAGCAAGTTCTCGAGACTGAATACAAAAAAAACCAAAAACACTATTCTTCGAGAGCGATCGTATGTAGTCATATTCAGAATATTTTGCTCATTACGGATATATGTATAGCTTTCTCGTCATGAATTTTTCTTGTAAACGTTTGAAGAGGCGAAAAGAGGGAAGAAGGAAGAGTAGGGAGATTGGAATGAGTGTCAAACTTTCTTTTTGCGTTATTCCCTCACCCACTCACACACTTTCCGAGTTCAGGTCCATCTTAGACTGGGTTTGAGTTAAGGTTGAAAGGAAGATGAAAATATTATTTTGTTACAAAGGGGAGTTGCGAAAAAAGCTAATTGTTTCCTTTGTTTTTGAGGAAAAAAGACAAAAACGAACCTGTAGAGGCATGAACTTGAACTCATTGAAGCATTTTCGATCTGTCAACTTCTAATTTTGGACATGTCCTTCAAAGGATTCTCATCCTCTCTTATCATGGAAATGTCAAATATGACTTGTTTAGAAAGCATTAGAGATGAAATTCAAAATGTGGGGGCTAAAAGAAGACAGGAAAATATTGAAAAGGACTTCTCTGTGACAGCAAGTCAGAGAATCAGAGTGTTAAAAAATGCTTAAATGAGCTCAATGACATCATTGGCAAAAATACGAGAGAAAAATTTTTTTTCATATTCAAAACGGACTCTCAAACGAAAACGGAAAAATCGAACTTCAATTCCACTTTTCTTGAAGGGATTACATAGTCCTTTTGGCGGAGAATATGATTTCGGCATGGAAAACATAAGGATTATTAGGTATCTAAATGGTTGCGGCAGAAGCAACAGAAGTGAGTTACGAAGGCACTGCACGTCAAAGATAGCTTAGTCAGTCAGCATTGACATCGATTACAATGCATTAGGAGATCGACTGATCCAGGAAATGATTCTCTAATCACTTCGGTAATCATTTAGAAAAGGTCCAAAAGAACTTACTGTCCATGTCAATTGTGAAAAATGTAAAATTAACCTATTTTGGCATGTGCGAGACAACGTAGATAAATCATGCAAATAAATCGAGAGCCAGCAAAGGAAGAGGAAAACTTTTCAAATGCACTCGATGTCCGTTGCATTCAGTGCAAGCAAAGACACATGAAGAGCTGGTTGACCTTAAAAGAGAAAGCCTTTCTTCTTCTGTTTTATTTTGAAACATAATGTCATTGCATAATTGGAAATGAATGGGAGATCGCGTCCGTCTCGTCGCATATAAAAGCTAAAGAGCAGCTCATTATGATTTTCATATCTGACACACACACATACAAACTTCACTCCGGTGATTAAAGATCTGGAGCATTGTGAAGGCATCTTATTGCAGACGAGGGAATCCATCCGCATCAACTATTTTGATGATGCAAATAGAAGTCATTTAATGTAAGAAAAAGACTTTTTTTGTTAAAGATACTCACATCAGTAAGTACGTAGTTGAGCTTCAGTCTCGAACTCAAACGTCAAACAACATCCAATAAAGCTTGAATATTCTCAAAAATTATATTGAATTAATCAAAAATAAACACAAAAAAAGGAAAGAATAGATAAATGAGGAATGTCTGTCACTATTATTCAGAGTATCATAGAGATGAAAGATGCAGATATAAATACTTTGACCAGGCAAATAATAAGGGCAGACAGGAAGATGAAAAATCACTTGCTGCTCCTTCTCTTTCCTCCTAAAAGTTTCATTCAAACTATTTTTGGCAGACAAATGTCCAAACTTGGTAGTTTATTCGCAATTTTCTTTCTTCGTTCGCTCTTCCTTATCACTCTGTGTCTCTGGATTTGCCTTTGTTTCGTCTCTCTTCCTTCACGTTCTACTTTTCACCAGCATACTTCTCCTATTATATGAAGTGCTGTAGAGGGAGGCGCTAGAAGAGAGCTAGAAAGCTGAGGCAAAAAAAGAATAAACTGAATAAGGCAGAGAGAGAACTTTACATGACATCATGTTCCATTCATTTTCTGAGATGTTTAGTCAGCTTCTCGCACTTGAGGAAACTCATATGAATGTCGTTTAACTTACATCTCTCACTTTTCATCCTCTCCCATCATTCAGCACGCTGTTGTCCACTTCCTCTCAAACCTTCCATATCATAAACAGATTGGACAGCAAACGAAACCGTTCTCTCTAACATTGCCGAAGTAATAAAAAATAAACTTCGGAAGGAGGTCATAGCAAAAAAACATTTTCAAAAATTGAAAAATGGCGGGAAGTTGAGAATAAAAAATCCAAATCTCATTTCGATATTTGCAAGAGGTGGGTGCGGTGTGTATTTTTAAAAATTTATAAAAATTCGTAAAATCCTTTGCTTCGCCTAATTCAATTTCTTATTTGCCAGCTAGCATACATATTTCCGCATGTAGAAGAAGACTAGTAGAGAAAGGCAGATTATAGATTTTTACTATTAATTTGCACATCAGATTTTAGTCGTTTGTGAGATGAGGAAGCAATGCGATTTCTAACTCCATCGAAGGAGAATACACAACTAAACGGGAAAAAAAACAAAATGAACGAATAATTATCGGAATAAACAGACAAAAGTCTTTTATGTTCTCTGTTTTGGTTGGGTTTTTCTTTTTCAAAAAGCTAACCGAAATCGTTCGTCTGCTTCTTATGTCTGTTTAACAATGACCATCAAATAGTAATAGATGAACGCGTAGCACAAATTCAGCTTCTGTCGCACAGAAAAATATGAAAATACGTTGATCAGGAGAGATTTACTAGCATCCCTGAGGAACACATATTGTATTGAAATGAGCGAACTTCAGAAAATCATCAACACATGACATCCGGCTTGAGCCAGGACATAGAGGTGCGAATGGAAATGTGACATTAAGACGTAGATAGGAATATTACTAATTAGAATTGGTTTACTTTCCAAAAATAGAATTATTTTTCTTTTATATTTAGTTCAAGATATTCTGTTTTCGTCTTCGTGTATTAGGAGAAAGTCACTGCTCAGGTCAGCCGCAGGCGAGAAAGAGCACGGCTTGAGACGCATCCAATTCGGTTTTCATCGTTGACAGCAATATAAGGATATACGTGTCAAAATGAATATTTTGTTTAGCTTCAAAACAGAATTTTTTTGAAGTAAAATGTGTAGTTGCACGGAAAGAGGAGAAGTGATCGAGTAAGCAGAACAAGGTGAGAGAAGGATGTGATAGGAACAGCATGCGACGACCATATTGAAATCTTCATAAAATTTGCCGAAACTAATCATTTTTTGAAGAATGATCAAAGCTCGCCAGGAGATGCGAAAACAATATTATAAATGAATGAAACTGTGAAGGTTTGTACGACTTTTATTGGGAATAATGAGGTCTTTCGCATTCTGTTGCTCGGATCCATATCTACTCCGGAGCGGAGCCATAATCTTTCAATGTCAACTTAGCTTTATGAATATGGATGTAATGACGAAAATGTTATCATACTCTATAAAACTACATCTCAAAATAGCTAAGAAAACTTTGACGCGAGAAACAAAGCTGGTAGAAAAGCAAGATAAGTTGAGATTTCATTGATAAGAGAGATATCAACATCAATAACACGAGGGGAGGAGGAGAAGTGGGTGGAGAAGGATTGGCTAGATTTTCTGCACCTAGGTTGAGCCATTCTCATTTGTTTACAAATGGAAGAGTTGCTACTCCAAATTAAAACTTTATTTACTAGAAGACGTTCATAAACTGCTTCTGATCTTCGGGAAAAAACAAAAGCTGAGCCAAATTAAAACCATATCTGATTCTACTTGCAATGAGGTTTTCAGTTTCGACGTCAAAAGAGTTGTCAGTTACAGTTCGGATGATGAGAGCAGGAGAGTCTTAGAAACCATCCGGAACGTTGAAGACGAAATTCACATTGAAAACAATTACCAAATGCTCCAAGTACGGCAAAAATATTTTCAAGTTCAGTTACTTGAATCATTCACTATCTAAGCAGAGGAGAAGAAGACGAAGATGGGACAAAAGACGACTTTGTTGTGAGCGTCTGACTTCTGAAGTTGATTACGAACACTTTCAAACGTTGTCATGAAAAATTCCATAAAAAGATGTAGTGACGACATAGTTGAGAAGGAAGCAAATCCCAATTTGAAAAGCGAAATAAGCAATTATTTGTTATGAGGATAACTTATATTTTTGGAGTCAACAGCTGCCTATTAAGAGACGTCCTGACGAATATCTAAAAAAAGGTTGAAGCAGGTGGTTTTGGAGAGAATTTTTAAAGACATCTTATCAAGTTAATTTGAGAAATGTGCAACGGCACATGAATAGTTTAATATTTCTATTCGGGGACGGAAACCGAAAGACAGGGCAAGTGTGTATGCCTGAGGCACCGTCTGAGAGAGTGTGAGAATGAATAGAAAAGATTAAACCATTCACTCTTACGAGACTGACTATCGGCTCTTCCCACAAACCTGAAGTTAGTTTGCGTTGGCTCTTTGAATTCTGACAGAATCCATAAATTTCCGAGCATTTTAATATGAAATATCTCAACAAAATAACAAATGATCTACATAAAGATAATCTTCCCTTTCAAATGGTTTCGTATTCTTCTCATGAAAATATTAAAAGAGGAATGATGGAAATTTACTTATTAGTTCCACAGAAAAATGATGGAAAACAATTCATTTGCTAAATCATTCATGAGGTTGTGACAATGAAGACAAAATTGACGAATTAAACTCAGAAACTCATCATGTCTAAGCTGGCGATATCGCTCGTCAATCAATAGGTTTAGCAGCATAATTAGTAGTGGATGAGGTAAATTTACATGTAAAGGCGAGGATATGCAAATTTCAAGACACGTATCGCTTTGAGACTTTTTCATGTGTGACGAAATCATTTTACGAATGCTTTCTTCGGTGAGTGGTTGTCTCATCTTTTGTGTGATTGAACATTGATTTAGAATAGAGGGTCGGGATATCAGTTTATCACCTTATCATATCGTAGAAGGAATACGAAAAGTAAGATTTACAAACAACTTGACGCCAATAAAATTGTCAACTCTTATGGCGTTTTCGGCAGGTAAACTGTTTTTCCGCAAAATCTCATGTCTCTTAAGATATCAGACATTTGGCTATTTATTATGCCAACTGCTGAATTTTACTTATGCATCTACTGTATATGTAATGAGCTATATACAACTGAATCCATATATGGAATGTAAAAATGAGGTGAGAAGTATGATAGAATGAATGTGTAAAACGAATACTCCCAACAGCTTGAAGAAAATATTGAAATAGACGAAAGTTGTTGGATAAGCAACAGTACATTAAAAGAACAATGTGGACGTAACCATTGGACACAACTAACGTACTTCTGCAGTTCTAGAAAACACTTAACTTACATTAAACCAGACTGAATGATAGTCAGCCTGTTACGAGTATTGTTATGGAGTTTGGGTTGACATGCCAGCATTACTTTTGGAAAGAAGCTTCTATTATTTTTTTCACAATAGGTAGGGTAGTGTTGAATGCTCACCTTATGAGAAAAGGCTTCCAGGGGCTATTGTTACTGTTCCTATAACCTCGACTCTGGCAGATAGAATTGGTCGGAGGCCTGTTTTGTTGGGTTCATTAAGCATTACGTCAGCTAACACAAAGGTTCAAAAATTATTGTATTTTTTCAGATTTGTTGTTAGTATATTAGCAGCCCTAGCTCCGAATTTTGAAAGTTTTCTGCTTTGCCGATTCATAATTGGTGGAGCCAGTGATGTGAGGGTCTTCCATGTTCATTGAACTTCCAGCATTGTTTAGACATACATATCAATAGTAGCAATACTTACCTGTGAGCTCATATCAACACATAGTCGGGCATGGATATCATTAGTTTACACATTGGCTTGGGCTCTAGGAATGTTTTATGTATGCATACATTGAGACATTTTTATAATCCTTAATGCTGCAGGTCGGTTTGTTGTCTCTCTTTGTCCACGAGTGGAGATGGATGTATATGATGAACTCTATTCCTAGTATTTTCTTTGTTTTATATTTTTAGTAGGCACTATTCATGTTCTAAGACGCTACACGCTTTGTTTAGTTGGATGCCAGAATCACCTCATTGGCTGGTGCTGAAAAAACGGGCGAAAGAAATTAAACAATACATCAAAACATCTAACAAGTAATGGGCTCCTTCCTTCTTCAGACCGATAAAGTATTTTTAGATGGAGTAATTGCGAAATAGACATCCAGAAGTGCTTAGATAGTGACAGTTTGCCTACTGAAGACGAAGTTCATCAAAACCCAAAATTTTCTGCCGTTTTTAAGAACGCAACTATCAGAAAGTATATTGTTATAAATGGTTTTATCCAGTCCGTTTAATCTTTCGACTGAACTAACCAGTTTAAATCAGATTCTGCTTGGCCTTATATTACTTCGGAATATCTTTCATGTCTGTTGACCTGAGTGAGAATCGTTTCACAGCATACATGATATCAGCGTTTGTTGAAATTCCAGGTCTGCAAGATTGTTTTTTGTAAAATATGAACCTTATATTGCTTTTCCAGGTGGCCTAATGGTAATTCCCTTGATGATGTACTTTGGAAGAAGGGAAGTCATAGGATTATCTTTGATTGTCCAAGGAGTACTATTGGCTGTCGTTCCATTCTTTTCAAGTACATTTTTTTTCACTGAGAGAAGGAAGTATAACTATTTAAGACATAGGTCCAGTTTGGGTTCCTACTTTCTTTATGTTGGCAGGAAAACTAGTGAACAGGTGGTTTCTAATCTGATAATAATTCATTTCTTCATGTAGCGTAGCATATACCATACACCCGATCTATGCTTCTGAAATGATGCCGACCTCAGTTCGGTCATTTGCATTTTCAATTATTAATATACCTCAAAGCCTGGGTATAATCATTGCTCCATTATTTAAGCACATTGTAAGTTGAGTAGCTGCCAACAAGCTTTCCTATAATTAATCATTCTTAGGGATCAACTTCAACAGGAACAAGTTGGGTCAAGTTTGTAGTCGTTGGAGCTTGCTGTTGTGTAGGAGCTATTTCTCTTCTTTTTTTGCCCGAGACCAAGGTAAACCTCATCAGATGAAGAAAAATCATAATATGTAGGACTGCATGATGCCTTCTAATATCAGTGATGAGGAAGACTCGCAGAAGATCTGTACACCTAAACCTACGAAACCGACTACAGATCGACTGGTTGAGCAGATACAAACTTGAGGTTCAACAACCGAAGACGACAAATGATTCACTGGAGGTGAATGAGACGGAGACAAAAAAAATCCGAGTAGCACAGAAAATTTATTTGTCAGATTAGTTCGCATTTTACAAAACAGTCAAGCATGACACTCTTTTCATTTACATATTTGCAGTTGGACCCGCCACGACATTTTCCACTAGTTCACACTAATTTTACCTGAAATAAATTCAACTAAAACTATCTCAGCTGTCCACATTAAACCAACTTTTTATTTTCCTTGCCAGCAGACGTTGCAGAAAAACCAAGCTTCATTTGTCTCTTAGCGGAAGGTACCGGGGTTTGGGAACTCTTAAAAATTCAACATAAATCTTCAAAATCAAATCTGTTCGGATTGCTAAGACCATTCGAAACATAGAGTAGCGATTGGAAAGTAAAACCCGACTGCTTTTTTTATCGCTTCGCGTTAATATTGCACCGAACTAGAAAGATCAATCCGTAAGCGGAAAAATCTTGATTAAATTTCAGTGCTAGCTCGAACGTTGATGAAACACATACCTCATCCTCTCTTGCTCTTTTCTTTGGATTGTCAAAAGAGGATTCAAGCTGATCAAAAACTGACATAGAGGAACTGTCTAAATTCACATCAGCGGCCCTCTAAAATTCAAGAAATACGAAAAAAATTTTTCTAGATCTTACCTTAAATGGATTTCTGTTGAAAGGGGTTCCTGTAACAAGAGCTAAATCGTTAGTCGCACTGACTTGAGAGTATTCTTCAGTATGCGCTGGCTCCTCTCTTTCTTCGAAGACATCAACAGATTCAGCTTGGGACTTAAAAACGAAAATGAAAAAAAAACTACGTCTATGGCACTACCATTTCAGATGTACGAGGTGGTTGTACTTCAATTGTCCTTCTTTTCATTGATACACGTCGTGGGGCTATTGCAGAAGCATTGTTTTTCCTTTCAAGTGGGATACTCGAATCTTTCATGTTCTCTCGACCAATTTGAGCTACCTGTAATTCAAATTGCACCTAGTTTTCGCAATATAAAGTTCTCACTTTCTCAGCCAAAACATGTTTTTTGAAACCCGAGGCATAATTGCACAGAGCCTGAATACCCTTGGATGAAGACATAAACGAAGCAAATTCGGAAGCTCGCGTTTCTCTTTCCGATTTACAAGCGAGAGCGAATAGTTTCAAGATCGTGTTCGAACGAATAGAATTGAACTCCTGAAAAAATATCTATTATGAACAAATTGAGGATCAAGGTTTACCGATGTGCTTGATCCAATTTCATTTGCAATGTTTTGCTGAAGCTCATTCAAATACAGGCTTTCTTCTAGTTGCGATTTATCGCTATCGGCTTGACAGTACGGCAACCTCCAGTCGGCAATTATTGGAACTTGTTTCGTTGTTAAAGATGGATGACGACTTCCTTTGCAGTATAAATATCTCAAATATATTGCGTTCAATGATGCTTCTTGAAAAACAATAAAAACCTGAACTGTCTGCTTGTACCTTGCATAACAACCGAAATGGGCCAGATACCATCAGATTTGTCGTGCAATTCACTGGGCGAAAATATAGGCATCCAGAACCCAGCTGGCGACTTTATACGCACATTATCTGAGATATGGTTGATATAGGAATAAAACAAAGTATACTTTTACTTACAACCATTGTCCATAGTTACTAACTGGCCTGTGTTAGAATATGATAACCATAAGGGACACTTTCCTGGAGTGACCGCTAGATCACATGAGGTAACGGAGTTTTCCAGTCCCATCCATCCTCTGATTCCTACATCATACGTCGTCACAGAATACTAAAAAGAGAAAACTAAGAGCAACACCAACTCTATGCTTTGTTACCTGATACGTTGCTTTGCTCCGCTTTGATTTCTGATACTCTTCAAAGAACTCAGCACCTTTGACAGAGAGTACTGATAACTTATCACCATAGAGAGCACTCGTGAGGATAGGACCTGTTACAATGACAATCCATTAGAACTATCAGCGATGAATACCAGGATGCGATATGATATGTCTTTGACTACCAGTGATCGTAAACACTCGAATGTTCCTTTGCCAAGTCAAAACACAAACTACATCATTTGAAACCTAAATCAATAACTAAGTTTTTGAAAACAATAGCCTTTTACCAAGACATCAATCGCCACATCTTTCGCAGGTAATGGCACAGACCATCTTCTTGATTCTGTATCCCATGACTTGATATGAATTACGAGCAATTCACTGAATCGAATTGATCTTCACAAACTAATATTGAATAGGAACCTTTGAGCTGACTTCTCCTCAGGAGAACTTGCTAATACTACAGCGTGGTCTGAGAGATCAGCAAGACGATAGTTGGTAGTAGAATTATCCAAGATAATTTCGGGATGAATACTAGCATCATGAAACTCGACCTTGAATTTCTAAAGTTTTTTTTTCCAACATAATGAACAAACCTCAATGCTATTATTGTCTACCTCAGTATAACTCCTCACAACTCCATATCTATTCCATTTCTACAAGTGTTCGTCACTTGTGTTGTGATCTAAGACTAAGGACATACCAAATATCTTTGGGTATTATGTGATGGCGTAGCACCGGATACAAAGTGAGAAGGGATAGTAGGCGGATCGTACTCAACAACTTTCGTGACTGTAGTTGGCGCATACTCTTTACTAAAAACAGTGTTCGTTCAAATGGCCGGTAGAAATATACTCACGGCTTTTCTATATAGTTGGATTCAGGGTCTTCAGGTTCAGTAACTCCAAAACCGAAATCTTCTAATCTTCCGGTATTAGCGTACCCAAACGATTTTTTGATTGCACTGATATCAGCAGACACTGAAGTATACGTATTTTTCACAACAAAAAAAAGCTTTTATACTTCTAGAGTCTTCATCAATATCTACAACTTCAGGGTGTGAGCCGTCGTTGGCATCATCTGCTTCATCGGAAATGAACTTCGGTCTCTTTCTCATTACCAATTCGTTATCATCATCATCGTCTTCATCATCATTGTATATATTCTATAAACCGGAAATTCAGAACAAACTATGAATTTGGCGTACTGATTGGTTAGCTTCGGTAACTAATCCAGATGTTGTAGGAATATCACCCAATCCAGCAGGTAGAGCATTTTTCCAAAGACACAGTCCTTCCTAAAAAAACAAATTATGCAATGCTCAACACGGGATACATTACATTGACATCAACAAGAAGAATAGTTCTACCATTGTAGGGGCTGAATTCAATATCTGTTATCATGTACTTCAAGTTACAAATTCGTTTATACTCATTTTGAGAAATAATTTCACTGAAATGAGAAATATCAATCAAATAAAGATGAATCTCTCTTACCAATTCGAAGTTCTCCAGATGAAGAGCTTATTACCGATTGTACTGGCAGCGAGATAATTTCCACAAGGCGAAACAGCGAGAGTAGAAAAATCTTCCTAAGAATTGCTTTCTTGAAAAGAAATCAAAGACGAATAAAAACTGACGTATTCAGCATCTTTTCCCCTGAACATTCTGCTGGAAACGGTCCATGTGGAAGCATCAATAATTTTCACTGCTCCCAATGAAGGTACATACAGTTCTTCACTTGTTCGAGACCAAGCCAACTTCACTCTGGGACTCTCAAGCCTATAACAGTATAGTACGAACAAGAGTTTGAAGTATATGTTACTCTGTGGGCATGGTATCTCCAAAAACTTTCTCAGAGAAGATTCGCTTAGGTTCTTCCTCCATTATATCATATATGGATACTTTACCATCCGATGTTGATACAGCGCAGAACTGAAACGAAAAAAAAAGTAAAAAAGCCTTCTTGACAGCAACATACATTCTCATTAGGACTTATCGCAACTGATAGAACGTCTGCGCTCATTTCAAACCGCTTGTAGATGGTGGATTCTGCCCCGAGAGTGAGGATTTTAACAGAGAAATCTCTGAAGTTGAAGTACAAACTGTGTAAGGTTGAAGTTCTCACCCTCCGGCGGCAGCGAGAAATTTATCTCCTACATCTACTGCTACAGGATCCAAGCCAAAAATTAAAGACTAAAACTCTGTTATACAATCTCACAACTTTAAGTACAAACCGGACTGAGATTGGTCCCTAATTCATCGATTTTAGTTCTGCCTATTATCTTTTTCTCTGTGCCAAGAAGTAAATTTAGTGTAGTACAGCCAACATAGACATACTCATCCTAAATAAAGGAAACTACTGGGTGATTTATGATAACCAATTTTTATACTTTCCACACAACACAACTGCTCGTAGCTTCTCCTATGTTAACAACTTCGGGTGCAGTGTTATCTAAGAAACATTTTTCACTCCATAAATAGACTGTTCCATCAGCACCGCATGTTAAAAACTTCAAAAAACTCAGGAAGTATAAGGATTCACAAGAGAGAAATTACCTCTTTTCTCTTTTGGCTTTTATCTCTCGCAATACAAATACGTCCTCTTACATGCAACGCTTTGATATCCGAAAAAGACCCGGTAGGCATTTTAGGCTCGGGTAAGGAATATTTATTTCAAATTAACTGTTATAGTATTAGTGGGTATTTTCAGCAGCTTGGAGTCGGTCAAATTCAAATTAGTTTGCTTGAATTATAGAATAAGTTAAAATGATAATTTAAATTTGAAATTTCCATTTTACCGCAAATTTTAGCCTGAAAAGTACGGTACTTAAGATCTAGACTGCAAGACACCATGCCACATGATGAACGTAATGTTATAAAGGGTGCCTCGCAGTGAGATGTTTGGGATAGCGAACTCACCCAGTATTTCTTTCATTGTTCAAGCTCCTTGCAAAGGTTGCTTCCACTGTTGAGAATGGCCAAGGGAGTTAGTTTATCTTCTATTTGTTCCGGACATTAATCTTTTCATTTTCTTAGAAGCTTTACGGAAAGAAGGACAACTTCAGAACTCAGAAGGTTCTCATTGCTGCCAAGCTCGGAAAGTCTGACGTCCAATTGGCCGGAGAGACCGCCCCAGCTGATAAGTTCCCTCTTGGAGTTGTGAGTTCCATTTTGCCGAACTTGACCTGACTGAAGCATTCCTTTTAAGACTCCAGCTTACGAGGGAGAAGCCCTTCTCTTCGGAGCTGAATCAGTCGCCCTTCACGTTTCCGGAGAATCTGGCAAAAATGTAAATAAGCGTTAGTCATTAATTGATTTATATGTTGGTCATGTTTTCTGAAAGTACAATTTCAGCTCGCCGAGATCGTCCAATGGCTCCAATGGGCCGAGGCTTCTCTTTTGCCAAATGTTTTAGGATACGTACTTCCATCTGTCTCTGCTGCCAAGCTTGAGGCTTCCGTAAGTACTGTTTTGTTTTTGCCTTATATTATGGTGTCTTCAGGTTGTTGCTTCCTACAAGAATGAGCTCTTCGCTCAACTCTCCATCTTCAACGACATCCTTCTCTCCAAGACTTTCTTGGTCGGAAACAGACTCTCTCTTGCTGACGTCTCTGTCGCTTTAGATCTCCTCCCAGCTTTCCAAGTGTGTTATATTTACTTTTCGTTACGAATGTTTTTACCTTTAGCACGTTCTTGATGAGGGAGCTCGCAAGAAGTTCGGAAATGTTCTCCGTTGGTTCAACACTATTGTAAATCAACCAGCTGTTAATGAGGTTGTCGGAAATGTTGTTTTCGCCAGCAAGGTTGCTCAATTCACCGGTAAGCAGTTTTCAAAATCTTCCTCGTTTATTTTTTCCACTGCGTAGTCAGCAGTTCTTCCTTTCAAGGGTTGAAAGGTGTTACAGTGGTGGGAAATTAGCAATCGTTTGCAATTTTTTTAATGGTTCAGTTTTTGGACTTTATCTAAAGCGCAGCTGATTGTAGAAAACGAGAGTTGATGCATTATCCGTGACATCGTCCTAACGGGCAAAGGATATATATTGTATCTTAGTATGTTTTCAAATATTTTTTTTTCAGAGGCTGAATTCACCAAGTTCGCTGCCAAGCTCTCCACTGTAGCCGGAGGTGAGTGTTTTATACTATTAAATGATTGGTGATAGAAAAGCGTACTGAGAACTTTAGAAAAAAACGAGTGTAAGGTTGTTGAGAATGCTCAACCCATAGAAACGGGTACAACAGTAAATGTAACCGATTCTTCCACAGGGAAGAAAAAGAAGAAAAGTAGGGTGAAAATGTTGTGTTGTATTGTGATAGTGCGTTATTGATACATATAGATACCAGTGATTGACAACTGAATTTTCTCTGCCCCTTGTAGATAAGAAGAAGAACGAGAAGAAGGAAACTAAGAAGGCTGAACCCAAGGCTGCTGCTCCTAAGCCAGAAGCTGATGAAGATGATGTCCCAGCCCCTAAGGAATCTAAGGATCCTTTCGCCGAGATGCCAAAGGGAACCTTCAACCTTGACGCATTCAAGCGTTGTTACTCTAATGAAGATACCGCCACTAAGGCCATCCCACACTTCTGGGAGAACTTCGATGCCGAGAACAACTCTATCTGGTACTGCGAGTACAAGTTCCCAACAGAGTTGACCCTCGCTTTCATGAGCTGCAACTTGATCTCAGGTGTGTTTTAGATTTTTGTAGTTTCTACTTTATACTTTTTTTAGGAATGTACCAACGTCTCGAGAAGTTGAAGAAGAACGCTTTCGCTTCTATGATTTTGTTCGGAACTGACAATAACTCTTCTATCTCTGGAGTCTGGACATGGAAAGGACAAGAGCTTGCCTTCCCACTTTGCGATGACTGGCAGGTTTGTAAATACCTTATGCGTGCTAATCTGTACGGAAGTTAGTCAATGCTCAGTCTTTTGGCTGAGACATGTTACAATTTCCGAAAATTGAAACAC